CATAATTACCTTCTCGAGGAGATGGCGGAAGTGACTTAACAAATAGTACACCTCCTAAATTCAAGCATTCACAGTGTACAAACATAAATAATATGTATTTATATCTATATTTATTTCTATATATATGTGTAATTATATTTGTATTACATTATAACTTATATGTATAATATTTGTAGATTTTGCTTAGTTTTAGATAAAAAAATATTTATAATCATTGATTACAATCGTAACCTCGGTGCACCTACCCTACAAGATTTCTACACCACCTAAAGGTTGGCCGGTAGAGAATTAAGTTATTAGTCAGTAATTATTACCCAGGGCATTAAGTCCGCCGATGTACATAAGTGCATGAAGATGTAAAATAAATAAATAAATAAAAAATCAGACAATGGAGACAGTGGTGGTTCGATGGCCCACTGCCTGATCTGTCGGTGATGATCAGTGTCGTTTTCCGGCCGATCGTCAGGTACGAGTGATTCTAAAATATTTTCTGCTGTTTCTTCTACTCCTGTGGTATATCTGTTATTAATTTTGATGTTCTGTATGTATGCAAGGTCGATTGATCTATTTGCCTTAAATTCGTGATACAAAGGTGACCACGGGCCCTCTCTATCGAGTTTATCGACAAGTTTCTGAATTAAGTTTCCCTTCGATTTTTCCACTGCAGCTCTGTAGTGGGACCTGGCAACTCTAAGAGCAATGAGAGCATTATTGTACAAATCTCCTGTGACGTTATGTTTTTTAAAATTGTTTAATTTTCTACGAGCTTTCCGGTAGCTTCTACGTAGTTCGGCTAATCTATCATTCCACCAATCACATCTACGAGTGTTAGTGATCGATCCGCGACCAATAGATACATCAGCGCAGTATGTAAAAGTTTCTGGTAGTATTTCTGCGCTTTCCTCAGCTGATAAACTACTGCGACTGAAGTCTTTGGTATGAGTTGCAAATAGTGAACCAAACAAAGCCCAGTTCGCACCTTTAGTTTTATATCTAAAATTATAAGGAGCCCTTTGTGGATCCCGTGCAACCCTTGGTATGAATTCGTACACGATCAAGCGGTGATCACTACAGGATGCGTCCGGGAGGACACACCATGTGTCGGTTGAACGCATCTTGCCATACCATAATGAAGATGACGCATTGACATCAGGGCCAATGATAATTTTATGTCCCACGAGGAACTGCAAGACGTAACGTAAGTGATGTAAGTGAGGATCAATAGGATGTGAATATTGAAAATAGCAGCTCACTACGTAAACCTTACAGGCAGAGGATGAGATCTCAGCAATGGCGCAGTGTGACGTCATAAGATTACGCAAAGATGTTACCGTAAAATTAGAACTTGCAACATATATCCCAGCCTGCGAACGTCAAGCTGTACTACATTACGACGCAGGCGAGCGCTCTGATATTGTTCTTGTATAAGGACAACGTCTAACTTTTGTTCTAAAATTAAACGGTCTAAAATTAAATTTAAAAAAATTCTGATGTAGCTATTTTATCATTATGAAGATTTAACTGGCCTATCGAAATATTATCCATTACTTAGTAAATTTTTTGCTAGAGTGCACCAACGTTGTACAATTTCAATCACGATACACGTAGCAGGGGTGCATTGGGGTTGGGTTTTCCCTCATACCCGCCACGAAAGCCTACCGCGAGGAGGTTGATGCCTTTTAAATGGGAGATTTTCATCAAAGGTGTTCCTTTGCATCATCTAAGCATCTCTAAAAACGGTTCTTCGGGAAATAACGTAATCAATAAGTGTTACATATCTTTCAATTGCCTTATATATTGACCAGGTTGCACTAGTAACAGGCGACTATGATCACGCCCAGTGCAATCTTGTAGAGACAGTGGATAAAGTCTACTAAAGCCTAAGTGAAATAAAGATAATAAAATATTAACGTGCGTGATAACTGAGGGACCATACTGGTATTTCGTTAAATAAAAGTTATATGATTTTGTAATAGATTTGAAATAATTGTAGAATAAATCTGGAATTTGTAAAAAAAATATTTAAAAAACTACAGTTCTTAAAGTGCGGTCCCTCAGTTCTCACAGATCATCAGCCAGATCTCGAAAAATATACGAAAAATTAAGATATTGTGACTACAGACATTTAGTAAAGAATTTGGAAAGATATTTACTAAATAACAGAGCACAAACCATCAAAGATTAAAAAATATATAACGACTAAAATGTTGTCCCTCATTCCGCACAAGAAAGATTAATATTTTAGTAAATATTACCAAATCAAATAAATAAATTCTTTCTATTTCTACATGAAGATTTAGTAAGAGTCTCCTTTCAACTGTGGCTGTCAACAGAATTGTATCTCCCGTATCTGTGGATCCTAGAGTAGGACTTTCAACAGACAGGGATTTATGCACTTTTTATTATCATATAGGTTTAGAAAATTCTCATTTTTTCAAAAGTTTAACGAGTTTTTAAGTAACTCCTATTAGTATTATCAATAGAATAAGTTTCTTCGTGTAAACATTTTGTAAAAAAGAAATGGAATAAAAATATTAACGCAATTCGAGGAGAGCGACTATTAAAACTGGTCCCTCAATCCTCACCTTTGCTGACACATGCACATATACTAGCTTGTTTATGAGAGAAATATCAGTCTAGTTTATTTAACTTTTAGTAAAATGTTTCTACTAAATAATAGGGATTTAAAAGTGTATATTTCTTACCTTTTAGTTGAGATACTACTATCTTATTTATCCTATGGAAGTAAACAGAGTAGTGTGACCACACAATGACACAAAGAAATACTCGTTCATAAAACAGTGATATCGGTAGACATAGAAACATATTGTAGTTCTAGTTTCAAAGCATTTAAATGAATATTTTATTTTAGGTTTTAAACTAACTTTCTGTACCTGACCATGATGGTGCTCTATTTTCTGAATTAAAAATATGAACATGATAAATTTGACCACAATGGAAGTCTTAAAGCTGAAGTGAATGTTGATCAAGATATTTGCCCAAGACCGGAATAGTAGGCGCTCCTTGGGGGAAGCCTTCGTTCCGCAGTGGACGGCGATAGGCTGCTGATGGTGATGGAAAAATAATGTACTTATTGTACTGAAGTTTAGTATAGTCTTTTTGAAGTTGACTTTTATTTACATTTTATCCGTTTTTAGATTTAAAATATCTTCTTCACGGAGGCCGAAACTTCATGGAAGCAAAATTGGCTAGATATCTAAACAATGATGGTGTTACTAGTGATATCGATGGAGAACCTAAGGGTAATGAAACTGAGGACTACAAGTCATGCTAGCCCAAACTTATCAAGGTGGTTAATTTATTGTCATCATGTTCTAAAGAAGGAACGGTAAATGAACGAACAAAGAAGCCAAATTTGGTAGAATTTTATAATCACAAGAAAGTTGGAGTTGAGACTCAAAACCAAATGTATTCGAATATTAGATGTAGCCGAAAGACTAATAGATTTCATATGTGGTTATTTTATGGAATCTTAACATTGCCTTCGTAAACAGCTAAGTAATATACTGCGAAAACAAGCTCAATGCCAAATAAACGCCGTTAAATAGAAAGATATTTATGCGTACATTTCGGACAGTAAAAACGGCTTCCTTTTCCAACCCATCAAAAAGAATTCAAACAGAAATTATTCAAGATTTGGTGCCTAAAAATATAGGGAGAGGCAGCAGCCGACAACTGATGCAAAAAAAGATGTTCATTTTGCTCATACAAAAGAACCTAAAATCAGATTTCTGAAGTGCCAAAAAACATGATGCGAGAGACATAGGAATAAATATGTGTTAACTGTGCTAAATTAGGACAATTTCTTTTTTTATTTATTAAATTCGTAAACATAGCTAGCTATATAAAATAAAAATACAGACAAAGTTTTGATGTTTAATTTATGTACTTTTTCATGTGAGTCACTCATAATTAGTATTTACGTTTGTAAAATATGATAGTTTTCGAGGTTTAAAACTATCGTGAGCATGATAATTCCCGTAATACGTAATTATAAATTATGGAAATATAAATGAAATATAATAATGGTACAATATAACAAGCATTTTAGACATACAGTATCGGTGAGAGTCGCAAGCATACACAGTTACTTTTAGTTAATTTCATTTTTTTAAATTTGCAACTGGTTGTTAATTTTTTAATCTGTAATTTCTTCAATTTTGACAGTTCGCAGCTGGTGCTGTTGGATTGTTTCTGTTATGGATTTTGAGACATAAAAACGTAGATATTACTTAAATTGAACCGACAAACAAAAAAGCTAGTGAATATTTATTGTATTTTGTATTAATTATTCGATATTCTATTCTACTAACACAATGTTTAAGGTAAATACGTAGTTCTCATACTTACTCTTTAAGCTAAAAGAAGTTGATTGTATACATTATTTCATACAATCCATATGAAATATAAAATAAATGTTTATGTGTTTATGGTTATAGATTATATTTAAAATGTCTTTTGTGCAAATTGAGCCGTAAAATAGCATGTTGTCAATTTTCAACATGGCTCACTCAGGTCATTTCGCATGGTAGGTACTTTAGTGTATAAACGTGATACAAATATGTACATGACAGACGACACTTAAAATTAACTTTTGTTACTAAAATTGGAAAATTCTAATTGTACTGTTTTCGAATCAGTTATATAAGTCATTTAATTTTCAGGACGAATAGGCGTGAGTGCCAACAAAAATAAATGTTTACAAGTTGTATAATTCCATTACAAAAACTGTATAGTATGTTATTTTTCAGATTGACTACACAAAATTTAAGTCGATGATCACTTAAACATACAGGTAAATAAATAAAGGTTGGACCTACCATACATCTATTTATATTTCAATTTGTTATTTGTAACTACCAATGCTACTTCACAGTTGCTTCTGAAGTAACTTTCCATATCATTATCTGAGTTGTAAACTAATAGATAACTTTTACGATACAATCACTACAAAATGTTTTTATCAACAATTTAGGGCAATGGACCCAGTCATTGACAATGAATGGCTTGGATGCAAGAATGAACCAATTGATGACATGCAGTATGTGGGCAATGTTGCTCGAAGCTGGCAGTGGAGGGAGCGAGGCATCAACCCTCCCCATTATCCCAACAACAAGACTGTACTTGAAAATGTTGCTGAAGACATTCTTGTGCAGAAATCTCTTGAAATAAGAGTATGGGTTTATTTTCTTATGACAATTTCCTGTAAATTTGTAGTTTTCCTTAAATTGTATCAGTTCAAACTGCCAATAAATATAAATTTTTTTAATCACAGAGCTGTGATCTGCCTGGATATCCAAGATCTACATTTTTAATGGTTTTCAGTCCGGATGGGTAAGAATTTCTTTGTTTACACTGTTATTAAGCCATATAACTTTCTATGATTAAATATGAAAATAATCACATTGTATATTATTAACTTTATGGTCAGAAATATTGGTTTAATTTGGTTTCATTAACATTTTCTTAGTGAACAATGCAAGTATCTTGATAATAGTTAAACTGATTATAGATAGTGAGTTTTTCTAGATTTACAGGGACACAGATACTCATATGATGTCAATATTGTCAGTCCTAACTTTGACAACATAATCAGGGAAGCTATAATATATCTATATAATACTAAAGTAACATAAACTTCTTAGAGAAATAATATAATGCATTTCATATATTCTCAGGTAGTAAAAAAATATGTTATAAATTTTTATGTTATTGTTTTCACATTAGTGCTTCACTTTTCTTTTCTGATATTTTCATAATTATTCTTCATATTTAGAATAGCAAGAAAGAAAGATAATAAGAAGAAATACTTATAGTTTTATTCATAACAGCTCTGTCTTTTACAAAATGTTAGCTTTTTTGTGTTCGTTTAATTCAGTGACTCCATAGATAACCGATAATTGAACTTCAGGGGTAAATTTTGTAGTTTGTTCATTTCACCAGAAGCAAGTAAATATAAATAGACCCATGCTTCAAAAGTAGCACATGTATATAATTGTCTATGTAGGTACTTTTAAAAAGCACTATTAAGTGTTTTTTTTTATATTTGGAAATGCTTAGTTCATAGCTTCATTGTACATATGCACCATACATATTACTGAACTATCTAAAGGTTGACTGGTAGATAATGCCATATTTCATTAAGTCTGCCCCATGCAAAATATGATGCAGGAAGTATAAAATAAATAAATAATTCAAATAGGCTAAAAGTTCAAGTTTTTAGTAATTATCTTCTGCTCTAGTAGAATCCAGAAATAACAATCTGTTTGCTTCCTCCCTGTTTTGTCACTGAGCTCGAAACTTATCGGAGGCAAACACAGCGGAACAGATCCTGATGCACCAACATTTTCTCTATATAAGTGGTTTGCTAACAGACCTCCTCAATAAAAAAAAATGTATTAGTGAAAACTAAATTATATTAAAAAACTATTAAAATATTAAACTAAATTAGCTATTAAATTTAATAATCATGCTATTTTGTTTAATATTCTAAATGACTTTAACACTTTACATAACATCTGTTTGACCATTTTGTTTGATATAAGATATGTATAATATAAAAAAACACCAGCACCGTAAGGGTCAGAGCAGTGACCTTAGGTATGGTGCTCAGCTATTAAAATAAAAAAGTATAAACAATAATGTCTTTGTATTCTAGAACCAAAGTAGCTTCAACCCATGGGAACCACAATGTGTATGTAACTGAGCTGGCCAGTGGCAAGCATGTACGCATTCTCAAAGGGCACCCGAGAACACCATGGTGCATTGCCTTCCATCCTTCACACCCGTTACTAATTGGTTCTGGCTGTCTTGGTGGCCAAGTTAGAGTGTGGGATATTGCCAGTGTGAGTTTCAGATATACTTTTTGGTAATTGATACTATGTTTGTTTTAAATGTGTATATTTTAATCACAGAATATAGTGTAATCGTTAAATATTTTTAGTATCTCCTATCAAGTCATATAATGTACTTACATAAATGATCATTTGATCTTCAGGAATAGTTTTGTGTAAGTGTAATTGTAAATGGAGTTTAATCAAATACAAATTTTTCGATGTTTAACCGTTTTCTGTGAAATTAGTCATTTGATATATTTATTAATGATTTTCTTCTTACAGGGTGGCAGTGAAGTATGGCATGTTCGCAACGAAACTGTGATTGCTTCTATAGCATTTCACCCTCGTGAGCAACTTTTAGTTATAGCAACCCACAATGAACTTTATTTTTGGGATTGGAGCCAGCCTGCCCCCTTCACCAAAGTTTCCACAAATAATATAAATGAAAAAGTGAGGTATGTAATTTAATACCAACCTAATTAAGTCCAATGAGCAGAACACAAACAAAACACTGAAATTACTTTGTGTAAAAAAAAAATCTATTTTAAACTCACTATCACATCTATATTGACTAGTATTTGTTTTAGTCGCTTTCCTTGGCATTAGGCCAGGCGAAGGGGTTTTACCTTTGAGTATTTACATAAAATAATACCTAGTATTTTTTTTATCATACTTAAATATATAGATATATTTGTGTGAGGTTGAGAACCTGTAAAGCAGTTCACAAAGAAAGTTCGCAGACGAGCGACTGAATTGATCTTTTAGACCATTTAAACAGTATGCATTCTCTTAGTTTATCCATTTCAGATATGTGGCCTTTGATGCTCTGGGTTATAAGCTCATTACTGGCATATCACTATGGGCTTGTCCGGGTGGTACCACAAATAGCTCACTACTACAACAAAATCCTACAATGGGACCAAACAGCCAAAACAACAACTCGAGAAGAGATGATTCCGACGATGGTCCTGGAGGCAGCCGATCACAGGAGATCTCTGGCTCCGGTTCAGCACAAGATATGATTGTGAACTCTTACCAGCACTTAGTTCAAAGATATGACAGTTTGGTGAGGAACTATCAGAGGCTATTTATGGTGCGACATCGACTGACTAATACGCCACCACCTCCAAACACGGTAATATATATTGCCTTTTTAAAGTATTAAACTACTTTTCATAACTTTATGAGCATACACCAATTAAAATACAAATAAGACATAAATTAACAGCTATTTTCACTGATGACTTTTAACCTCTGACGACCACTGATGACTTGTAACCTCCGCGATTCTTCACTTTTATTTACTTTCTATATTGCAAAACGCACTTTTACAATCGAAAGTTAGAAATTGCCCGAAATTTGCCTGAAAATTCTCGTAATAACTTGACGGATTCAACCCTTAGGAACATCATGGGTTCTAGATGTCTAGCTTTTTCAGGAACATTCGAATAGTTCCGCTACTCGATACCGAAAGGTGCCACTTGTCTTGGGCGACCGCAACACCGCACCCTATTTGGACATGTCGGTTTCTTTTTGGTATAAGGATTTGCGGTCCTTTCTGTATACGGTAGATAGAGCCTGGTCGCCCGGCGAAATGACTCTTTTCTTTTAATGGGACTAATTCCTACTACAACGGCCACCAGTGACCCACGAACACACCGAGTTATACCCTTGGGAAGTCCCAGGAAGAAATTAAACTGTCTTTTAACCCACAACGAAATTAATCAGAAGGAAATTGGAAGAGTTGGAAATATAATAAATCCACTGCCCTCCTTAGTAAGGCGGGCAACAAAATGAAGTAAAATAGGCATACACCCTTTTAAACAGAAATATTATGGGTACTAAGTGAGCTGTATTTGATTTCTATAATATGTACGGCAGAACCGCCCAAAACGCACGGAAATTCACCCTAGGTGACACAAGATCCTCATAGTATACCGCCCCAGATGTCACCTGTAAGCTATTTAGCATAATATTACATTAATTATACCAAAGACTACATTCTCAGAGGATATCGGTACCGGTACATCTGTACATTATTTCACATTTCTCTGAGAAGTGGTTTATGTAACCAGACCAATAAACCTTTCCCCAGTATCTGATAAGCCGTTCCACCATTGCGTGTAAGTGGGTGATGAGAGGCGGTTCAAGTTTCATGAGCACTCTTACAATCGGCTCGTTTACTCGAACATCTAGATTTAAGATTCCAATGATAAGGAATTATCATTGTGAATATCCAAAGGTACTACTCGTAAACTTTATCTCCAAAGTCGACACAGTCTGATTCTACTATTAAGGAGTGTGATCAGAAGGCCTAAAATAGTAAAGTATTACTAAGATTAGCCAATTACCGATTCAAATTTCGTTTATTTTCCTACGAAAATACCTTCTCTGACATTTGTGAGATCGATAGTAGATCGGCACTGAATTTTGACCGAACTTTTATTACGAAAATTGGCCTTCTGGTTTCGACATTGGATTAATTACAATGGCGTGTTTAGAAGTTTAATTGATTGTATTTGTTTTTATCCAATGATTTAAAATATTTCAAAAATCAAAAACAAACATTACAAGTACTTCTTAACAATAAGAAACCATTGGTATATTACTTAAACTAGTTATTTAGTTACTGGAACTAGTGACGTGAAATAACGACTACTGTATTCGTTTTAGACTCACTCATCTGGATATTGTGTGTCAGATCGGATGCAGACTTAACTCAAATGTATCTGGATTCCATATAATTGAATTTGTCGTTAAATTGTTTTTCTGAAACAATGAAATACTCCATTATTTCTTCGAACACACTTGTAATAGAAGTTACATAGTACCTAGTTCGTTCCAATCATTGTTGTTATTTTTTAGTGATGGACATTTAATTTATTGCTGTATTTCGTTTGTATTCGTATATTTTTTTTGTATGTAAATGTAAGTGTATTGTAGGCTTGTAATGTTAGTTTTTATTTAGTATCTTTCTGGTGGTTTTGAGTGTTTCCACGGCCTACCCAAATGTCCTGCTGGCGTTAATGTCGCGTTTCGGGTCGTTGATCTTGACTAAAATCGGTTTAGTTACACCATGGCTGGGGCCACGTATGGCGTCTGTATGGACAGGTATACAGACGCCATATAAACTATGGTCCTTTCTTTAAAGAGGTAACCCAGACCCTATACTGCAGTCGCATAGTTTTCTATAACATTGTTCACGGACTAAAAATAAAGACACCTCTGTGTTATTTGTTTAGGCTTTTTTCCCAGAGTGAGTCTTAGAAAATGCCTTCTAACTGTAAAGACTTGAAAACATTTGCCTACCGAAATAAATATGTTATAATTTACACAAATTTAAAAATGTGTAGTTGTACTAATGTATCTAAATATATCTACTGAAGATATGAAAATAAATTTACCCCATGTACATTAAATTATTATCTGATGCTTATAACTTATCATTTTGACACATTAATCATAATAGAATATAAGAAAGAAGTATTGGTCAAATGTTGTTAAATTAAATTTTATGAAAATTATAGATTGACCGCGGCACTGATCCCATGGAGACAGATGTTTCTGCAACCGCGAGTACTTCTGGTTGGACTAGGACACCACGAACATCCACGCCTCCTGCGACACAAGATGAAGGTAAAGTGTAATAATTCGATGCAAAATGTTTGTACATGTGTGGACATAGTTGATTGCGTTTACTGCGTTTCTGAAGTAAAGCTACAATTAGTGTTCTGAAAATACGCTCAAGATAGAACTGAAATAATTTTTGTCTGAAGTAAAGTAACTATATTTGGTATCCGGTATCCGACCGTATACTTGCTAACTATCCGGAAAGGCTTGATACTGGTTAGTTACAGATGTCTGTTTCATCCTAACTATAAATACTTTTAAAAAATGATAACTACCCGATTATAGATGAAATCTTATTAAATAGTATTTTATGCATGTTATTCAAGAAAATGCATCAGTTTCAGCAACTCCTACGCCTAGTACTTCATCAGCATCTAGTCGTCAAGATCCTATTGATAATGGTGATAGTGAAAGTAGCAGCAGCCGTTTACTAAACTTAGATGTTTTGTCTATTGATAGCAATCCATCAAGGTGCGTAGCTCATTAAAAAAATCTAGCAAAGGAAGTTGGGAGTCGAAAGACTCCACATTCTTTCGACTCGGACGTCATATGACATTAATTACCGCTTTCATTATTTTCAGAAATCAAAATTGGTCTTCTCAGGAACGTTCGCTATTTGGCTCACGTTCCTCAGCCTTTCAACCATTATTGGGACCGGAACGAAGCTTTAGAACGGTTGATCAAAATGAGCGCACTAGGTTGCTGCCAAACCCTTTTTCATCTGCAAATGGAACCCCTAGGCCAACCAGAGTTACATTCTCAGAAAATGCACCATCTTCTAATAATACAGCAAATACCTCGCGCACTAGTATATTTACTTCGTCCCGAGGGCCACCTCTGGGGCGAGAAATCTTCATACCGCAAAGAAACTATCCCCCACTACAACACGACAATGACCCCTTATTGTCTTCCACTAGCAGTAGCATACCGCTTTTACCGCGGCGTACATTTTTATCTAATACATCTCCTGAGAGTACGCCATCCACATCTGGTAATTTCACGCAGAGACCAACAATGACAAATTCATCTACACAAATGAGTCCTGTGACACCGCCAGTAGATGCTCAAACTATTAACGAAAGCCTAGATTTAATACGTGATATTCTGAGAGATTCTGGCACAAGACTGTTAAACCTGATTACTAACATGTCTTTGTCCACATTAGCCAGTGTAGAGCGTAGTATCCCAAGACGAGGTTCAGGCTCGCGTGCCCACTCTGAAGATAGCGCAGGCAGTGGTAGAGTACGCGGAGTAAGACCACCAGTTGGACTGTTTGGTTCTTATTGGCACCGGAATTTTCTAACATCTAGTTCAGATTCTGATAGTGATCAGTCCCCTGAAGTTAATATTTTCAGGACAAGAAATACGACCTTTCGAGAAGAAGAATCTAGAACTAATGAGCGGGCCTCTGCATCGACTTCTTCTGAAAGACTGGCGCATCCTACTGACAGAATGGTATTTGAATTAAATGAAGAGTCACAGAACGGTGAACCATCAGGAGGACAGGGTGGGATAAATGTATCGTTGTCAAATGATAGGTTTCGTGTTCGAACGCAAAGTGATACGATTGTAGAAACTGAAGCCAGAAGGCCCACAGACGAAGGTACTACGGAACTTCCTGATCCGAATGCACCTGACATAAATGGTAATAGACCATCCACAAGTAGGGACTATTTTTGGTCCAGTGGTAGTTTATTACCACCTGATGAAGCTTACAGAAAGGTAAGAAGTGGCGTAAATGCATTACAAAAACATACAGGACAACTGACGAATCTTTGGCTGCGCGGCAACCGCACGACCATGAGAGAATTACGGACAATGTGGGAAAATTTACGCCGACGAATACTAACGTTACACAGAGAAACTGGAAGACATGCTCCAAGTCACTTCACTAGACCCCTTTTAGATAGATGTATGATGTTGACTGATTTGACCGACGGTTTACCTCGTAGTACCAGAAATCCTAGAACTAATCCAAGACCCGAAGATTGTGGCAGGTTTTTAGCTAGTGGACGTACTACCGGTTCCAATTCTAATAATGCGAGCACTACGAGAGAAGGTGCGCTTAATAGTTCTGCTGAAAACATACTCGAGAACAGACCAGCACAGGTGGGTAGATCTCAAGTAAGATCTTCCCCGAATATCCGACCATCTCCATCCTTTAGAAGAAGACTGCAGTCAAACTACCGTTGGCGTCCAGAGGATGAGGTTAGGAGGCGATCGCGAAATGTAACAGCCAACCGCTTAGCTCCTCGCCGATCTCGAAGGGATTTTGCACGTGCAATTGAGATTAGTGCCACTAGACATGAAATACGCATGAGAGCTATGCAAGTGCTTTCGGTAATGTTTAATATGATGATGATGTGTCTCGAAGAACGAGGTTTAAGTCAGCTGATCATCACTATGTTACGAACATTAAAAAGGGCCTTGGCATTGACATGCCTTATAGTAATGTCCAATAGAAATAGTGGGAGAAATATTAACAATCAAGCTCCCACACCACAGCAAGTACAATCATCAAATGTTGTTCGTATTCAAAATGTTGACCATAATGTTGACGTAAATGTCGATGGTCCTGACGAAATTGTTGCTCCTAGTAATGCGTCACCTGATAACGTACTACAAACTACTGGACCTCCTGATAATACTCAACCTGGTGATACATTCACTAGTAATTCCACACCCATTAGTACACCACCTAGCAATACACAAGAAAATAATGCACCACCTAATGACACAACGCCTAACAATGTACCATCAATACCAGAACCGGATTTAGAACCATCATCAAACAATAATACTGACGATAAATCTCCAAAACCTTCGACTTCTAAATCTGAACCGGTTACAAAGAATGACAATAATAAACAAGAACAAGACGAACCATCACCCTCCTCCTCTACTTCTCGTAGTATTGTTTCTCAAAGATGGAGCAATCGATTAGCAGTACAAATTGCCGCCGCTAATAGGAATAATTCTGCTACAGCCAGGTATAGAAGGGACTTATACTTAGAAATAAGGCGTCAGAAAGCATTACATAGGACAAATCCTTTAGCTAATCCATTTATAAGAAGGAGAGTTTTACCTCCAGTGTCTAATAGTAGAATTCCGGTACTCCGGTGTTTGCCAACCAAAACACCTGTGCCAAGATTCAGGAATCCGAGAGTAGAAACACGAAGCAACGAACCGGTTGCTGGTCCATCTAACGCTCTACCCAACAATCCTAACCTCGAATCACCTGGTGAAGTCATGAACGAGTTTGAGCATAGAGTCAACTTCATACGAATAGCTCACATGCAAGCCGTCAGACTGCGTAATGCTGCTCGAAACAGATTTAGACGCCTGCAGACAATACGTCTTTACACGCCGTCTTCAGTTCGAGAAATGTTCGCTCTTCAAACCAATAATGGTGACAGTCCCCCGGAAAATCGTTCACCAGGGCAGAGCACTCCAGAGAGTAACCGACACCCGCTGGCAATGTTCCGCCCGCACATTCTCACGCCGCGCGGAGATGGCAGCAGTCGAGAGGACCCAGGCCAGTTTCATACAGTACTCAACAATGTGGCCATGCCGCTCATGCAAATGCAAAATGATCAGTCACCCTCTAGCTCCGATACCCAAGGCGCGCAGCCACAACGGCTGCCCAGAATACATGAGTATCTTCAACCCATCATTTTAGCCCAGGTAAATAATAACAAAATCCCTTCCATATCTTTTAAAGTGAACGAAATGGACACATTATTCGAGGTATATTAAATACAGTTTTTATTCAACATTAGAATCATTTAAAATGTAAACCAAGTTACAATTATTATTAATTAAAATAAACAGGGTTACTGGTTAATCCATCTTGACAATGGTTAGGTTTGGGATATGGTATTTCATGGTGAATCTTTTCAGAAATGATGGGTATTACAACCCCCCTTTTTTTTTGTTCCGTGCGGAAATCCCCTCGGATACCACCTATCGGTTGCATGTCGGACTCGAACCGACTAGAACCGCACGCCGTCTCGGATACTAATAGCCGGGGAACCAGGTATACCCTAGAAAGGAAGTCCCTGGTGCCCCGACATACCTCGGGCCATCTACAGACGAGTAGACGACCCCCCCGTGTGGGAACCCCATCTGGAAGCGAGCGCGCTTCGCAACGCGCTCGCCGCCACCCCGGCCTGCTTCTGTCACCCCCAGGCTTGCGCTTATGGAGGACGGAGGTCATTCTGCGACCTCCGGGCCTGAGTCGACTACGGTACCTGACCCGTTCCCGGGCCTGGCGGGCCGGGAGAGTTCTAAACCTCTCCCGGTCCCGCTCCGCCGTTTCCTTCGCGAGGGGTATTACAACCCCCTAAAATATCTAGGTCGCCTTAAAAAGTAACCCTGTATAATATATATTTGATCATATTCTTGAAAATAAAGAAAAAATTGTCAGGAAAGAATAAATCTTATCTCAATTAGAAAGTTGTACAAGAAATTAAATAACATTCTAGTGTGCGTTGCCCTAGCGGAAAAAGTTCGAATTTCATTATTTGAGTTTAACAGCTATTTAGTGTATTTCGAGTATATACTACTCTGTCAAGAAAGTACCGGAAAAAGATCAGTTTTACACAAAATGTTTGTTATTTATCCAAATTTATTTTATCGATACACTTACGCCAACAAAAAATCAAAACATTTTTTAAACGCTGTTTCCGGAATTGAGTTCAGTTCTCGCCGCGAATTCTCCTTTATGTCTTCTACCGATTGAAAACGGGTGCCACGAAGTGGTAATTTGAGTTTTGGAAAAAGAATGAAGTCGGCTGGAGCCATATCTGGTGAATATGGTGGTTGCTCGATGGTATTTGTTGATTGTTTGGTCAAAAATTCGTTCACAATGATGGCCTTGTGCGAAAGCGCATTATCGTGGTGCAAAATCCAAGAATTTTCTTTCCACAAATCTGCTCTTTTCGTCGAATTTGCTCTCTTAAATGCCGCATAACGCTCAAATATATTCTTTATTTACCGTTTGACCTTCCGGCAAGAATTCCGAGTACACAACACCGCGATAGTCAAAGAAAACAGTCAACATGACCTTGACTTTTGATCGTCTTTGGCGTGGTTTTTTCGGTTTCAGTTCAGTTGGAAGGCGCCACTCCGAAGCTTGTTGACTAGTTTGTATGTCAAACTCGTAAACCCACGTCTCTTCACCAGTAACAATGCGTTTCATGAATGTTGGGTCGGAATTAACTCGTTCTAGCATGTGCTCAGCGACTCTCATGTGATTGAGTTTTTGGAGAAACTTCAGGTCTTTTGGGACTAGCCGAGCGGTTTCATTGCATGTTTCATACCCAAATGATTAATTAAAATGGTACGGATCCACTCGTGGGATACAGAAAGTTAGGCGGCTATCTCTCACAAAGTTGAATGAGGATTTTCAGTCACTATTTCCTTCACTTTTGCGAAGTTCAGTTGCAGACGTTGATTGCATTGGTATGCAATTTGCCAATATATATGCAATCCAATATGCAATTGTGATGGCAAATCTTTCATCACATCTCGACCGCTTTTGAACGCTTTGTACCACTCATAAGCACGTGTTTTTGATAAAGTGGATTCACCGTAAGCCTTCTGTAACATTTTCAGTGACTCCGAACACGAAATTCCATTGGCGATGTAAAATTGAAGACAAACTCTTTGTTCGATTTTTTGTCCGTTATGAAATTCGCAATTCACACTAGATATGATATAACTAAAAACAGCACTGTATTTAATATAAATAACAGATGCAACTCAAACTCCGCGCTAAAATGGAAAACAGTGTTGTGTCTAACAACAACAAAAAAAAAACAAAAAATTGAATTTGGAACCATAAACAAATCATCCAATCACATACTTTTTTTTTTTTGAAAGTTTTCCGCTGGGGCAACGCACACATTCTAATTACAATAGAGATGACAATAATTTTTTACTTGATTTAATAACAAAATATCTTATTAATCATAGTATCTTTCCCCTTTTTCCTGTGCGGAAATCTCCTCGGATACCACCCACCGGTGGCTATGTCGAACTCAAACCGACCGAAACCTGCACGATAGTACCTTTCCCTGATATTCTTTCACCCAGAACGCTATGGTAGTCGATGACGAAGGTGGCAGTGGAGAGGGCGGCGGTGGAGGAGGAAATGGCGGCGGCGGAGGAGCCACGGGGCCGCGCCGCATGAGCGGCATGGCGGGGTTGCTGGACGCTGGCATTATTTCCGAGGCGCTGCCCGCACCCTCCCACCGAGTGCAGGCCTGGGACTTCACTACGGGAAAAACACCTGAGATCTCTGATAGTAATTACTACAACTTTTTTTCTTTTTTTTTAAGACAATTCCCGCACTAGGAATAAATCCTTGTGTCGCGGGGTACTTTTCAAACATACATGAAACGGACACAAAGAACACCCATTCTCAGAACAACAATTTGTGGATCACACAAAGTGTTGTCCCATCTGGGGATCGAACCCAAACACAGCGCTGTAGGTAGCGACCAGGTGACCACTTAAACAACTACGCCATCCGTGCAGTCTAGTTTAAAAAGTAGTCCAGAAGTTTAAAAATTTTAGTGTCAGTGGAAACACCTATTATTATTGCTTTGTATTGTGTGGGAAGTGCACATCTTTGAACTAGATGATTCTCTGATAGATGAAGGCCATTGGTCGCCAAAGCTGAAGTCTGCACATGACCAGCGTTTCCTACGATTCAATTGAAAGTTGGAACACCCGTGATTAATAATAATATCTAGCGATATCAGTATAATGTAACGGAGGAACATATTTAATATATTGATGAAATATAAATTTTACCAGGTACAAAAAATGTCGTAGTGCAACGATGCAGGATTCACAATGACGCTAGTATTGATATCTCTAAGGATGGCAGACTCCTGGTGGCCCTACTCCCAGTGCCAAGATTAAGGAACACCAACCATTGGTTAGGTAAGTAAACATTACAGTCACCCGTCACTTATTTCTAATATCATCCAAAGGTTTATTACTCTACAACAACTATTACTCATTTCTACATAAAACTTGTTATAAATAATGTTACAGGTGTTTATTCACTGGAGTGGGCCCGATTAGGACAATGTTTGCACACGGCAGTTCTAGAACAAAGTGCTGTGTCAGTAGCGTTATCACCCACTGCCCGCCATCTCGCCGTGGGCCTCGGCTCGCGACGGTTCACAACTGCACCACACGGTAGAAACAACGTCTTCGCTCTGCTGTATAGACTAGAACCACTAGGTAAGCACATTTTGACAAACAAATGTCGTCAACCTAAGTGTAAGCAAAAGCCATCGATTGTGATGGGGACCCCAGGTTATCTGACTTTCAAAACAAAACCTATTAAAAACATTTGAAACCTATTTATCAACAGCCTTTGAAAGTTCACTGCTGGACATAGGCCTCTCCTTAGGAAGGAGCTTTTGGCCTACTATACCACGTTAGCCAGACGGGTTGGTTTATATGAAACCTATTAAGACCTCTCAAAAGTATTGGAACTCATAGTGTCGACTGGTCTCTGATGATTGGTTGTCAACAAAGTATTTATAACCTACCTCATAGTGCTATAATACGATTAGCAGAGATCTAACCAGCATAAATAATCACTTCTTCAGAGGCACATCAACATGCCAACTAGAGCATTGGTACTTAGACTTAATTAATATATAATCAATTTCATTTTTCCCTGTGACAACTATTTATAACAAGGATTTTTAAAAAGATCATAAAATATTGACGAATCTCGGGCCTACTGTGATTTATTACATGTATATGGCCCCGCACTCTCTTCACCAATCACATTGACGAACGCGGTCATGGTGACGATCGAGTAGATATGAAATAAATTTAAGGCCCTCTGGTGGAGAATACCCTAAAAATAACACTGGTGAACGCAAAATCAAAATAAAATATAACATTTTTACCCTACGAATAGTCGCCTACAAACACGGGTAGGGTGTTTGTAAAAGTCTTACACTATTAGCTCGTTTCTTGATTATAGATACCTTTTTTTCCAGAAAGTTCAAGTCGTACAGGGCTGTCACCGATAAAGGAATTGGAACAGAATTGGGAACATGGTTTTACCAGCCTAAACTGTTTGCGTTGGGCTCCTCAACCTGGTCAAGGTCTTGTGTATGCCAATAATACCGGACAGCTTATAATCATGAGCTAATGATTTTAAAAGCCACAGATGGTATTTGTCACTGTCGCATTGACTGCCTTTATTGAAACTTAATTGTTTTAAACAACTGTGGCATTTCTAGTTAGATTGGGGTTTATGACTAATCTAAACAATCCGTTCATGTCTGTTTGGACTTCATTATATAATGAGTGTCAAGTTTTACTGTATAACTATAGTAATACCATAATATTAGGAAGGATATCATTGTCTACTTCAGGTCAATCTGAATAAAAATATACATAGATATTTGTAATATCAATGCCAATATTCACGTAATTGATCTCTTGAATTAATTGGTTGCGACTGATTATTAAATGTTTCACATTATTGTCGGAAATTTATTTTATTTGAATCTTTTAAACCGAGTTAAGCTTGCGTTAATGTAAAATTTTAAAGAATGAATCTTAAGAAATTATACACCTTTACTGAATAATACATTAATGAAAAAATTAGTTAGTATGCCAGTCTTTAGATATTTATTCTTAGTCATAATCGGAATTACTAAAAATTATTCGAATGTAATGTACATGTTTTTTAATGCGCGTTTCGATTGCTCCGGCACGTTATCGAAACAGAAAAAAATCAAGTTGCTTATAATTTTATTCTTTTTTCGACAAATTTAGTCTTCAACAGACAAAAAGAACTAGATCTCTAACTTAGTAGTTCTGAGATCTCCGTGGCCGCGCAATCCTTCACGATCCGTTCGCGCGGCCAACTTAAAACCCTTATAACTTCTTTATTTCTACTTTGACAAATTTTTGGATTGTTCCCTTCGATTTTGACAAATTCGACGGATTTTTGGCAGTTTTTTTTGTTTTGACAACGGTCCATCGAAACGCACACGTTTTTTAAGGTATATTTTTTTCTTTGTTTGAATGTGATACATATTATCCCCGAGTATAGTTTTTAAGACTCGTTTGGTTATGACGTTAAGGTATTCCTAAATTATTTTTTTATTTGTTATATAAAAAAAGCCATATAACGATAATACTTTTGGCATAGGCAATAATAAATCTCCATTCGTTTTAATTCCTCTCTACTAAATTTAAACTACCTATTTATTTAAAAGAAATAATCAAATTTGTTACAGGCTTGGGTGATAACTGCTTGATAGATAATGTTTTGTCGCTCTTGACTGAATAATTTTATCATTTGAATTAAGTCGTGTTGAAACCGAAGACCGAAGTATTTTGTTTATCTTGCACCTATTAGATTTATGTCGCCCAAGCTTAAGACTGATTTTTTTTCCGTGTTAATAGACTGATGATTGATTCAACCAGGGTATGATGGATAGTTAATGGAGAAGTTATGTAAAACACTTAAAAGGGTGATTCTTAATAAAATTATTCATGATCAAATCTTTTATGTGCATTATATTATTATTAAATATATTACAAGATTAGTTAGGGACAAAAAGTATCAAAAATACCATAGGATGCTACGTGTTATTATGCAAGCAGATGTGAGCCTATAACTACATTTAACAAAACCATATCACTGTTATGAATGGAAAAAATTAGTATATTTTATAAAACTTTTTTTTTATTGCAAAGTTGCAGAGTGTAATAATGTTATATAACTTTTTGTATAAGTGAGACCAAACCATATTTATTAAACATAACCTGATACACATTCTAGACCCAAAGCTTTTGCATATTTGAGTTTAGATAAATTAAGAATCAATTTCGAAAAAAAATCTAGTTTATTGTTGGTCCAAAATGACTATGAACGAGTATTTAATTAAAGTTGAATTATCTGAAAATGTTTTAGAATCATTGACACTCACCGTGTCTACATTTTTTTACCCATTAGGACTACAAGTGCATAAATTATTCTTTTTTTTTTACCTTGAATGTATAACATGAATTAACTTTTTTTTATAATTATGACCGAAAACCGAATTCATCCAAGTGCGAGAGCAATATAAATTGACATGAGGGATGCCCTAACTATTCCAGTAATTCATTTTAGACATAACAGCAATAGTTTGCATTTGGACACTTCTAACTTGTGTATCATGATTACTATAAAAATAGAGATTTCATTTATTTTATTGTTTTCAAGTTAGGATATATTTATCCGCAACATAATCTCTAATACTGTTATAACATACATAGATACTTTTTATATACTGCATGTATTACACAATATTGTATGTTCACAACTCTACTCTCTCTCTGTTATTATACTTAGTACATACTTGATTCTTTTGGCCAATCTCTTTCTTGTTACCTAAAACCCTAAGCCTATTTAAGTAGTACTTTCTACATAGTATCTAGATACATTTTTTAATATACTGCGGATAAAATATCTTACTTTTATGTAAATATTTTTATTTCAGATAATATTAAGAAAAGTTAAAAATGACTGTACAGTTTTATAAATAAGATTCTGTGTACAGATCCATTCTTGTGACTAATAAAATCCTAATAGATGGGATAAGTGTTTCATTAGTACATCTTAATCTATTAGCTAGTACATCTACCTACAGTAGGGTCTCTTTTAAAATAAATGTAAATGATATAAATATTGTATTTATTCTGTTTCTATAGAATGTAATTGCATTAATGATGCTGACAAAATAATCGTTATACATTAAATTATGATACAACAATTTGGAAAAACTTAAGGTACCTATTTAAATATTAAATTAATAATAAAAAATACCTGTAGAGATTTTTACGGTTGTGAATGTATTATAAAAATGTCAGAAAACTAAACCAGGCACAAAACTGACAACATGAAAATAAAGTTTATATAATCTTGTTGTAATAAAACCAATACTGATAAGAATGATATACAATATAAAATATACTTTCCTTCATGTTCAACAATCTATATTTCTGATATTGATTTAGAATACAAAAAATAAACATTACAAAACGTTCTAATTAAAAATGTCATATATATACAAAGTTCCTGCAAATATTGCGGTTACCAGTTCTATTTAGTCATATCAAAAGTAATAATAGCTTACAGAACTTGTGGACTAATGTGACGAAGTATTCATAAATATTTCGATTGTGACTCTGAGGCTGTCACTAAACACGTCATATAAACTAAAAATGGTTTCAACAACTTACAAAACATATAAGTCAAACCATAAGTAACACTAATTCCTACAATTCTTTATTTAAAAATGTTAATTTGCTCGTAGCACAAATATACTTTCCCTGACTCATCACAGACCAAATATAAAATCTATTTCGATTTCCATTATTTATTACCGAACCTTGTGTCTTTGCGGCGCTGCACAACACCCTCTGGTGACTTAGAAGCATTTAAATATAATAGCATCTATAACTAACTTCTTTTTGAGGAGGAAGTGGCAATTTAATGAAATGCAATAAGTGTTAGTGTTCCGAGGGCTTCAGTTCTTTAATTTGCTTTATAAGATAAGCCTTCTCATCATTGAACTGCTCATCCTCAGAGCGGTCTGTGTGAAACTTAGTAAGGAAATCTACCAGTTTGTCTTGATTTCTTAGCAAAATATCCAATATTGGTTTTGGTTTATTTGGATTAGCTACAAATACCTGAAACAACACAATATTGGGATTAGTATCTAAAAAACATCACAGATTGCTAGAAGAATTAATTTCAGTATCAGTATATTCCCTACAGCATGACTAAGATAGAAATGACGTAGGTAATGTGACTCTTATCTCTGCTTCCCACCATACACTTAAAGTTCGTATGATTTTTTGTTGGCAAATAATTATAATGCCATTTTATCAGGTAAACACCATGCTGTTTCTTCTATTAAATAAGATTCATAGTTTTTAATGTAAAACAATACAATATTGCTTAAAGCAAAGACCTTTATTTAATTTCTCACCACAATATAGTATACATTACATTTGAATAAAACAAAAAAATACAAATTATCATTTCCAGAATATTGTGGGAGACTGGTGCCTAAGCTAGGCTCGAGGCCTGTGTTTCAGGACACCAGCCTTATTGCCTTGCTATATATTTATTCATTTGTATAAAAGACTTATTGAGTATAGAGGCAAGGAGAACCATCTCTGTGTATGAACGTTTCCATAAAAACGCGTCCAATAAGGGCGGCACTGCGGCAGCCAGAATAAGTTTATATTGGCTTAAAAAAATAATTAGACACTGTGTACTAGACTGCGGAAATAGTCAATGAGTTTTACAGACAATAAATAAAAATGTAATAACTTAAGTCAATAAAAGTATTTTAATATTTTAACTCTTCACACTTTATTTTCAGTACACAGCTGGACACTTTCAACTGTCCCCTTAAAAGATGATTCTCCTTGTGCCTATACACTCCATAAAAATACACACATGTCAGTCAACTGATTAAGGCAATATGCGTGAAGGTAGCAGGCAATCACTGCTAGTGCTCTTTAGGAAGCTTTAAATGTAGGAAGAGAAAATAGATTTTTGTTAAAATGTGGTTGCCTAGGAAAAAAAACATATTGCCTCTCAGTCCTGTGCAGTAAGTAAGTGATGATGGTTTTTCAAAGTATGTTTTGTTAGAATTCTTACTAATATTATAAATGCAAAATTAACTGTGTTATGAATAACAATATTTATAGAGGGAAAATAAATAATCAAGTACCTTAAAAACGTGAAAAGCTTCAAACTGTATATTACGTGACTTCTCTTTAAGCATATTCATCATAAGCTTAAGGTTATCAGGGTTTGTGATGTAACGTGTCATAATAGAGAAGTTGTGACGGTCCAGTAACAACTCTCCGAGCAGCTTCAAGCTCTGCCGTCGAGTCACATAGTTCTCAGAGTTGAGTAGCCGCTGATAGTGACTAAACACCTTATCATAGTTTGTTTCTAAAAACTCGGCACACAACATTTTATGTCGCGTTAGCAATTCCTGAAAATAAATATATTTATGTAAAATATCAGTGTATCATTATGCGGCCCTTAGGATATAGGTTACTAAATGCAAGCGCTTTTCAAATTGAATTAGTAAATAACGACAAAAGCATATGCAAACAAAGTAATTCTGGCTCATTAAACCATATTATCTTAAATAACAATACTAAATAGGCATAACTCCAAGTTTATTCTGTAAACCTTAAGTGTTGATCTGCATCTCCATGATACCCTTACAATTAAAATTTATGAAACTACGCTGATCCTTATATCTGTATAGTAAATCTGAGTTAAACATTTTTATGTAAGAAAAGCTTGAACAAAACATTTAAATTACATTACATTGCAATTCTTGAAAATCTATGTGACATTATACTATGTAAATTATTATAAATACTCCTAAAATTTATTTTCATTGTTGTATCTTTAGCAGTCTTTTTTAGTATTTAAATATTAATGTTTTTCTAACATCACTTTTAATCAGATAATTGAACTTTACGCTAATGAATGTAGTTAAACATTTAATGATACAAAAAAGAATTCCATCTAAAGCTAGTGTTGTTGAATTATTAGGGATAATACAAACCTTAAAAGTAGAAAAGGCATCTGAGGCAATATCAAAAGTGGAAACTTCTACATAACGGAAGAAATTGTAAAAATCATCTGAATACAACATTATCTTAGCCAATGCCTCATATCTTGCACATTCTCTAAGCATTGTACCGCAGTTCGATGCAATTTCCTGGTGTTCATACCTAATAAAACATAAACATAATTTATTTGCCAAAACTGAACTTTACACATAATTGATTTTTGAGAAATTAAAATGTTTATCTTAAAAACCTGGTAAAAGTTTAAATTAAATTTAACAGATATGCATTACCCAGACATCAAGGTAAACAGTATCTCCGGCTTGGTGCATATGTACTCAACTGTGGGAGACCTGGTGCCAATCTGACGTCTAAGAACATTGTTAAACACTTGCGCAACATCCTTCTTGCCTTCAAAGTCAATTCGATTTAAATTCTGTAACACAATCACTTAAAGTTGACAAACTCAATAAATATATTTTAGCACAAATCTATTCAAATATTTATATACCTGAATAAGAAGCAGCAGTAAGTTGGTGTTGTAAAGTTCCTGAGCTAACTGTGCTACAATAATATCCGTTTGTGGTTCTGCGTCGGATGTACCATATAGCATGTTCTTTATCAAAACCTATTGACACAAAATCAACACTTTAATTTGTCCACTTTATCAATACAAGTATTGACCTCTATTTATTACTGTAGAACAAAATACACACCAAATTCTTGCTCACATCCTCTTGAGCTTTTTCAGCTTTCTTATCGCCTCTTTCTAAAGCAGTGACTGCATCTTTTAATGATCTCACAAGCTCCGCTGGGCTTTTTTGAGACTTACCAAAAAGAGGCATAGTATTTTGATAAATTAGACAGATGATCTAATCAATACTGTCTACATAAGATTGTACCTGCAATTAACAAATCAATGCGTATAACTATGAAACAAAATTAGAAGTTAAATGCGCTTGGTCCTGATATTTTACGAGAATGCAGGACAAACCAAATTTGTCAAATTTATAAAATCATTGACGACCCGGTGTGCTGTCACTCAACAAAACAAGTGCCGAATTCCATTTCAATATACATTATAGAGACACAATGCCACAAATAATGGTAAATATAACTCACTTTTAGATTAGATATTACAATTTTCCTAGTAAGACAAACCACACGAAACGAACAGCTGTGATGTCAATAGAAACAAGTATTGCCCTAACAAATATTTTAACAGTCAACCAAAATATAGACTGTTCAACGACATGGTGCGTTGCACAGGATCCAATATGTTCTAGTGGGTTTTGTCTAAAAGTTTAATAAATATGTAATTATTAGGGTGTTCATTGATTTTAATTTGAATAACAACAAACATACGAACTAAAAACGAGCTTGTAAAGGAAGGCTCAACAAAAAGACTTCACATAAGCCGTACTCAATTATAAATACCGCCAGTGACTGAACGTTATTAGTGGACACGTTTGAAAATCACTACAGAATACCGCCCGATATTTATGCCTCCAGACCAGACATATTTCTCTATGCAATGTCAATTAAGCGTGTAGTAACTCAGAAAAAAAACACTCACTTTGACTTAACCAGCGAAATAACCAAAAATGGCTATTTAAAATTTAATAAGCTAATTAGCCAAAAATTGTATGCCGTCGAGGTGGGTGCAAAGGGTATACCAGCTAAATCCCTCTATAACCTACTTAAAGACCTTGGACCTTGTCTTTTCTTGAACGAATATCTAAAGCGGCATTACTAGACTCGTATCAAATATGGTTAGGTAGAGTGGGCAACACTACCGAAAGGGGAGGTGAGCGCTGACGCATCGCAAGAAGTACTCCCTAAACTTACTCCTGGGTCGCCATTCCCAGGCACTGTCGCAGTCGCATGGGTTGCCCCTATCCATCACGCGATGGACCCGGCACCCGCACGGCGAATACATGGAACGCTAAGAAATATTAGGTCATAATAGCCGTAAATGTTAATATCAATTAATAAACTACTATGTACCTTTGTACCGTATATCTTTTCTACTCTCATATCTATTTGTTAAGTTCTTGTTACCTAAAACTGGCTATGGCGGACGGATTATGTAGCAAAATAATGCTTCTGGACCAAACAATTTGTTTGAGCGAAACAGGTATCAGTGTTACAGAGATGAAAATATAATTTTATCTAGCATTATTATCTTGAAGTTATTTATTTTTAATCAATTGTTGGGAAACTCAAACTCAAAATATATTTATTTCACAATTGCGACAATCTCTGTTTTGTCAAATATTTAACATTATAAAAGAATTACCTAACGAAAATCTCCTATATGCCTTTTTTTACGTGTTGAAACCCCCTCGTCACCCACCGGGGTTTACGACGGGATGGTGTGTCGGAATCGGACCGATGACTACACAGGGAGTGCCTTTCTGCGCCTAAAATAGGAGGGACCCGGGAAATGCTGTTATTAAGACATTCGGACCCCTCCTAGCCGCTGCCCGTAACGGCGCGGGTACTACCTTAGGGTCCATTCTCTATTTAGGCGACGTCCGGCACACGTGGACATCGCCTCCTCGTCTGGCCGTTATTGCGGGTAGAGGGAAAAAACCCGTCCCGTCCACCCGTAGCCACACTCAAGGCGGCATGAGACGCTGGTAAGCGCGCCTACGCCGCTCTGTTCGCCAGCGGTGAATTGGGTCCTGGAGAATGAGGAAAGGACCTGTGTCAGCCGGAAGGAAAGGGTCCCGGGCTGCCGCCCTGTCCACTCGATGATGACTGGCTGAAGTGCCTCCCAAGGCGGAGTTCCGGCCAACACCACATCCGTCGACACGGTGCGGTAACCGCGTTTAGCTGTAACTGCCAATAAACTCTGAGGACGCCAAAGGCGCTCCCTATTCTGGGCGGTCAGAGCCGCTGTCAACACCGGTGCACCGTACCATTGAAAGGACAACCGCCGTGGAACGCTGTCGAAATCTATTATATGCCTGCGCAGATTTGAGCCATGGATAGAAATTGAGCCATGGAAACAGTAATTAAATAATTTAACATTCACGATGATAGTAGGAAGAGTTTTCTTTTAATTTTTGTTTTTTATCAAAAAAGCTATGACCATATTTGTTATTTTTTAATTATCTGTTTTATGGTTACTCTTTAATATATGTTTGTACTTTACTGATACAAAACAAAATAACTAGTTGCAATGCATTTGAGTACCCTAGCAGAAGCAGGCCGGGCAGTCAGCACAAAGGGGACATAAGGGTTCAAACACAGGAGGGGGTCATTTACACTTCGCAGATGGCTTTCTTTTCCTTTCACCTTGTTCCTCGGCAACTGGTACCCGAGACGGCGGTGGCGTGCGGTTTTTGGTCGGTTCGAGTCCGACATAACCACCGGTGGGTGGTGTCCGAGGGGATTTCCGCACAGAAAAAAAAACCAATTGCAGTCATGTATTAATTTTCATACGGCAACACTATTGTAACGTGTCATGTCAAATATCAATTTATCGTAAGAAGTCCGTGAGGTTATAATAATTTCGCCATATTTCTGGCTAATAAGATCTTTTGCAATTTTTGCTAATAAGATTTATAAAAATAGTTATGGCTGAAACTTCCAGTGAAAAATTATCAAAGAAGTGAGTATTGTGTGAGCCATGTTTTCCTTGAAGAACCTGAGAACTCTGTCTTTAAGAACTAATGCTTTCATCAACCGATGTGCAAATATCTCGTCTGCTGTTAGCAAACGGTTGGTTGGAATTTGAATATCATCGTTTTTTTAAGCCTACTGATGTGTTATTATTCATTCTTATTGTAGTGAATTGAAACGGCGGCTCAAAGCCGAACAAAAATTAAAGGAAAAAGCTGAAAAATCCGCACAGGTAACCCCTGTAGTTGCAGACAAGAAGGCATCTAAAGCTGTTGAAGAGGAAATAAGTCCAAATGAGTATTATAAACTACGAAGTGCTGCTGTGGCGGCTCTTAAACAGGGCCCCAAGGAAGACCACCCATATCCTCATAAATTCAATGTTACAATTTCACTGGAAAACTTTATTGAAAAGTACAATAATTTAAACAGTGGTGAAGTTCTAGATGGTGTAACACTATCTGTAGCGGGTAGGGTCCATTCGATTAGAGAGTCAGGAGCCAAACTTATATTTTATGACCTGAGAGGTGAAGGTGTCAAGATTCAGGTAACACTAATATTTTTTAAGAAATATTTAAAAACACAGGATTCGAAAACATAGCAAAGAGGCAGCTTTTTTTTTTAAAGACGAACCCCCATTGTGAATATATATCCTGTGGGGGACTTTACAAACAGACACAAAGAACACAGACTCAGAACAACAATTTGTTGATCACACAAAGTGGGGATTGAACCCACAGCACAACACTGTCCATACAGTCGCAGACTAAACATATTATTATTAGTATTACTATGTTATTTCCTTTGACATGTCAAAAATGAATGATTTTAAATTCATGAATAGGTTTTTTGTTATCTTTGTTATTGAATTGTTATAGTATGAAAATGACTTCTGACAATAACTCATTAATATTACAGGTGATGGCTAATGCTAAATTGTATGAATCTGAAGACAAATTTGTTGCTGACACTGATAAACTACGAAGAGGTGATATTATTGGCTGTATTGGACACCCAGGCAAGACAAAGAAGGGTGAATTGTCCATAGTACCAAAAACCATCAAGTTATTATCTCCTTGTTTGCATATGTTACCACATCTTCACTTTGGCCTTAAAGACAAAGAGACCAGATTCAGAAAGAGATATTTAGATTTAATTTTGAATGATAGAGTAAGTAATTAATTCTTAGATAGTCTAAACATATGTAGTAAAATATATTAGGATAGTAAATATAACATGTAAATAATTGATTATTTAGACTATTTATATATTTGTCAATCTACATCATTTGATAGTGACATAGTCAAACTGATTTAGTAATACCCAACACTTATGCCTTTCTATTCTTTAGGCTGAGGTTAATTTGTTTAGAATAAATATATATGATCTCAATAAACACTAAAACTTCGTTGTTGAACAATATTCATAGTCATATATTTCTTTTAGCAATACTATTATATTGGTTTACATTCCAGGTAAGACAAATTTTCCACACTAGAGCTAAAATAATTTCTTATGTCAGAAGATTTTTAGACAACATGGGTTTCTTGGAGATTGAAACGCCGATGATGAACATGATTCCTGGGGGAGCTACAGCCAAACCATTCATCACCCACCATAATGATCTGAATATGGATTTGTACATGAGAATAGCACCAGAATTGTATCATAAGATGTTAGTAGTAGGGGGATTAGATCGTGTCTATGAAATTGGAAGGCAGTTCCGGAATGAGGGTATTGATTTAACCCATAACCCTGAATTCACTACTTGTGAGTTTTATATGGCATATGCAGATTACAATGATGTCATTAATATCACTGAGACTATGTTGGCTGGTATGGTGAAGAGTATTCATGGTACTTATAAGGTAAATCTATACATTTAAAATTATTGCCCTGATATATATTAACCGATGGCTACAAACTTGAAATTTTGACAGTTCTTACTTTTTATGTTGAAACTTCACTCCTAAGAGGGTAAAACAAGGGATGAATATATTTGTGGAAGTTCCTCTTTTTCAAAGTAAGAAATAAGAAATCTCAATGCACACTGCAGTTTGCCTAATCTTTAATCTCTTGATAGAAGTTAAACAAAAGGTTATCAAACATTATACCCCTGATAACAATTGCTGGCAATAATAATTATATTAATAATCACAAACAACTAATTATTCATTAAGAAATCTTTTGATGGCAAAACATGTTCAATGAGGTTACCAATAAAATATGTAAAGTTACATTGACTTCAATGTCATAATTAATAATAAATTGTCAACAGAAATGGGTTAGATTTTTTCTTTCTATAAATTTGAATGGAACAAAACAAATAATCCAAATAAAATAAAAAATATTTGTAGTTTTTAGTAAAAAAAAAAACAAAAATACTTGTTCAAATTGGCTCTGAAATGAAATAGTTCTCAGGACCTCCTACATTTTTTGAAATATTATGGTATATATATATATATATACAAAAACTCCATATATATTATTTAAAATTTGGGGTATGAAAAATATATGTTGGCCAATTCTCAGACCTACATGATAAGCACACAAAATTTTACGAAAAAACGGTCAAGCCGTTTCGGAGGAGTTCAACCACGCACACTGTGACATGAGAATTTTATATATTAGATAAGGAAGGAAATCAACTATCACCTGGACATTTATTCTTATATTATTTGAAGTGTACACTTATCATCAATAATAAAAATAAAACCTAATTGTTGTAGGTTAAATATCAACCAGATGGGCCTGATGGTGAGGAAGTAGAAATTGACTTTACACCTCCATTTGCAAGGTTGCCTATGATTCCAAGCTTAGAAAAGGCATTAAATGTGCAACTACCTCCAGCTGACAAGCTAGATACTGCTGAAGCTAATCAACTGTTAAGTCAGTTGTGTGAGAAACATGAAGTAAGGCTTAGTACACAATATTATTCATTTACCTAAGAAATTGTAAATCAATAGTACTAGTTTAGAATATAGAATGTTCAGCATTTAAATAAATTATGTTATGTGATACAGAAATTACTATACTTCTATGTTAGCCTAAGTTTTCCTGGTCAACCCAGAAATCTATCTTCAAATCTAAAATCTTAAGATGGATTCCTGGGTCGGCCACATTGTTATACAAATATGTTTGTGATACGAAAATCACAGTAGCAGCATGAGGACTATCCCATTAGACAGTGTCATTGTCACCTACTAACTGGTATCAAAAATAGAACTACTTCTCCAGGGACATACTAGTATCACTTTGTGAATTAAATTAAAGTATCAATCAGGTTTTAAGGCCCGTATTTTAAAAGGTGTCTCAGTCGTGAATCTAGTCTTAAAACTAATTTTAAGTAGAGATTTTATTATTGAACGTCACTTAAAACGAGATTCGACACTCCATACTCAAGTGAGTGATAGCTTATTTTAGAACGATGTTTATGTCGAAATCATTACTAAGGTATAGATTTTGACAGCTGTGATTACGTGAGCTTGTGATTACGCTTTGTTTACGTGAGACAAGCTGAAACTAGTCTCAAGCGGTGATTTCTAGGGCATTTAGGGGAAATGAATGTGTTTTACGATGATTTATTTTTGAATAATTACGAAAGATTTACTTTACTTTATTTACGAAAGAATTACTTAGCATACTATCATCAATTTCACTTTCATTTACCTTAATTGATATGAAATTCACCATAATTCACATTTTACTCACACAATACCTGTTTAAATTACTACAACCTTTTGGTTTATGTTAAAAGTATAGTAATTTAAATTTTAGAAATATCAAATAAAAACATCGTTTGACGTTTCAACATGACAAGTGTTGATAAATAACTTGAACGTTCCGTTATAGCCTATTCATACAGCTAGTCATTTTTATTTTAATATTTATTATACTTAATTTTGAACGAACAACAAGCTTGTTAATATGTTAACATTGCTACACTAGGCAATAGTATATTATATACAAATTCTCAGAAATTATTTTTGTAAAAGAAAATTATTTTTTAAATAATTAGCTGCGTAATGCGGAATAATAGTGTCAATCATGCGGAAACGTAATTGAGAACAGACTGTAAGTTCAAATCAATACTTGAAACTAGTTTCAACTGAGTAAAACTTAAAACGCGTTCTATAATAAGATCGATACTTAAGATTTGATCTGCACTTAAAACTAGTTTCAGGCAATCAGAGTTCAACCGACACTTGAGACGTCTTTTAAAATACAGGCCTAAGTGATTAATGTTTGGTTTCACTTGAAACCTCTAATCTTGATCATTCTACAAGAAATATAAGTCTTGGATATAAATGTTAAAGTTTTACTGTTTCTAGATTGAGTGTCCACCACCAAGAACTACAGCAAGGCTTCTAGATAAGTTAGTTGGAGAATTTCTTGAGGAGAAATGTATAAATCCCACATTCATATTGGATCACCCTCAGATAATGAGTCCTTTGTCTAAATATCATAGAGATGTTCCTGGATTGACCGAAAGGTATCTTTATATACAAATATTCAATAATTTACTTATCAACAATACTTAATAATTATTTGTTTAATTTTTGTCCAGGTTTGAACTATTTGTTATGAAGAAAGAAGTTGTCAATGCTTATACAGAGTTAAATGATCCAGCTACCCAAAGAGAAAGGTTTGAGCAACAAGCTAAAGATCGTGCCGCAGGTGATGATGAAGCACCACCGACAGATGAAGCATTCTGCACCGCTCTCGAGTATGGTCTGCCACCTACTGGTGGATGGGGAATGGGTATTGATAGGCTGACTATGTTCCTCACTAATAACAATAACATCAAGGTAAGATATGTTAATTTTCAATGACTTCACATGTCATAAATAAGTTCAAAAAAACAGTAAATTTGTAACACATCACTATCTTCTTCTAAAATTAAAATAATGTTGAAGAGTCCAAAGTATATAAATGTAATCAAAATAGGTGATTTGATTGTATAATTTTGCATTAAATTTGGTTTCTTATATATTGCTACTACACATTCCTTGTTTTCCAGGAGGTGCTGTTATTCCCTGCAATGAAACCAGATGACCCCAACAAACCTAATGTTGATTCCGAAAATGCTGCAGAAGAACCAATGCAAAATGGAGCATAATTATAAGGATGTTTTGCTTTCTTTTTTTATTGTATAAAAAATTCATACTAACATTTATTTTCAGAACTAAGTTATTGCTTCATTGTATTATTTAATAAAAACCTGTTTTACAGTGGAATAAGTATTTAGTAAAAATTATAATTATATATGTCAAAGCTCTTTTTATTTACAGATTTCCAAAATAATCTAATAACAGATATAAAGGCTTGCAAGTACATAAAATTATAGAATTTGAATGTCTTTTATGGCAAATGCAATGCAAAGCAATATACTGTTTAATAAAAACTATTGGGAGAACCTGGAGAGCAGGTTATCATAATAGTTTCTATTTCCTTCTAGAGCAGAGTTTTTATTTTCTTCGAATTGCGGCCATGGTGAGGAACCGAGTGGAACTATGCCGTCTCCTTCTGCGAGCAAGTTATGCTTGCGAACGAGATGGCGGAGTGGGACCGGGAGAGGTTTAGACTCTACCGGCCCGCCAGGCTCGGGAACGGGCCAGGTATCGCACACGACTCAGACGCCAGACGTGGGTGGTATACGAGAGGATTTCCACACAGAAAAAAAAGGGTCATATCAAATAATAATATTATCATAGTATTTAAGCCAAGTAAAGACTACTTGAAGACTTTACTTTTTGTCCCTTGGGGGAATTTCTTTTCTATTATGTTAGTAATTACATTTTTAATGAGGTGGTACTAGAGAATATGACAAATTTGCAGTTGTGAATATTGAAACAAGGTACTAGGATTAGAGATGCTGGTATTAAAAATATTAATGCTAAATAGCCAAGTATTAATTTTCCAGTACTCTAATCATTTTCATCTATAGTGTTTGGCACTGTTGAATTGTAATGTTCTCCTAACCTATACATATGTCGGTGATATGATATAACAAGAGGAGGACCATCATACTCAGTACCTTGTTCAATAGAATCAGGGCCAGTTGCTTGTATAACACTTATTGGATGCTTCAAACAGTTAGATAGTGCTCTAATTTCCAATTGACCCCCCCACACTTTGGTATTCTCTATTTTATTACAATACTCTTCAAATTCATCATCAGTCAACATATCTAAAGTGTCTGGATTACTCATAAATGGTATAAAATCATCTTTATTCTTCCTGATATAATCAGCAACACTTAGTCGCAGATCATTCACTGATATTTGTTTATTTTTTACAACTGCCATCTGATGAGCAACAGCTTTGTATAAGCAGTCTCCATCTGAAGGAATAGGAAAACCTTTAAGGCCTTTCTCTTTTAACCTTACATTAATAGCTTGTTGTTCAGTATTTCTAGGGCCATGAAGATTTTCTTGCTCTTGTAGCTTGATTTGTTCTTCTCTTTCTTTCTCTTGCTGTGACTTTTTATCTCTTCGCTTTTGAGCTTTTGACACTTTATGTATAGATGACTCGTTTTCTAGAACTGGCAGTGAGTCTGTAGGTATTGTTTCTTTTTTAATGCTTTCAGTTTCATACTTATGCCGTGCATCCAATTCAATTTCCAACCTAGTAATTTCAGCGGCTAATTCTTTCTTCTTTGTCTTATCGTTTTTAGCGGTTTTCTTCATTGCTTGTATTTGGGCTTGCAGCTCCTTTTTTTCCTTGCGATGCTTAACTTCTAAAGTATTTATAATGTCCGCTTCACTTTCCATAATGAAATACGGTAAAATTTAAAACAATAACAATGAAATGAATGTATAATGCAATTTAATATCAGTCCGAAAGAAGGATGCACAGTGCAAGTTCCTGAGAGATGTGATGACAAGAGACAACTAATGACTTACAAACAGTGTTGCCAAAAGTTAAATTAACTTTCCACCAGATTCAAAATCTAGCCATCAGAAAACCGCTAACGAAAAACGACCCTACTCTAAGAGTCGCTAAAAAGATTGATACGTTTCTTGGTACCGGTTTGTTTTAGAACGTTTATTGGACTTTCAAAAGTGTTGCAAAATTTCCCTGTTTTCTTATCACGGCGTATTCTTAACATCTTCCTCTACTTGTGTTTATTATTTTCTTACTTCTTATTAGTATCTCAACATCGGCATTGGAATAATTCCTCAAATCTCGAATTCCCTTGGGCATCTTTGAAATGCAATACTTCCAGTATGTAGAAGTGCCACGATGGGCAACCACGGACCGAGTTTAGAACGACATTTGGTTTAATGATATCAATCTTCATTTCTCTTCTGTTGCCTAACTGGATCATCAAACCAAAAGTCGGACCCTAAACTATATCATTGGTCTGCCCAAGCCCCAGCCAAATATTCAAAGTTAACCTTTGAATTTTCACCGGTGCTCTCTGGGACACCAAAAATATGTCTATCCGTTCCAATGTAATGGTTTGTGATTACGTTATCCGCAGGATGATAGTTACCATCCTGGATTTTGTCCTCTAAGTCATAACCCACATTTTTGACAAAGGTTCTTGAGGATTGCGTATACAAACAGTTCTAACAGTTTATCTTTCAACATCATCCTCGTCCTCTATATCTTGCTATCACTACCAAACCACTAGAAAAATCAAATATTTCGCCACAAACACGGGGGTCGAAACCACCAGTTTTAGTGGATAATCCACTAGGCTGACAACACTGGTGATGACAAGTGACAACTAACTAATGACGCAAATGTTTTTGCACTAAATCAAACTGACAACTCAAACTAGAGTAAAAACGATCGCCTAAAGGCGCAGAAATCACCGGGGGCAAATGCTAGTAAATTTCCTCTGGGACCAGGGGCTTTATCTAATAAACTCCTTCTTTCAAACGAAGCCCCAAAGGAAGTGGACCTGGCTAAGGACCTATAGCACGACAAAGAACGAGATCGACATTATCATCAAAAACAAATGCAAAATATTCAGGGATGTCTCCATGATCAACAGGTTTACACCGGAAGTGATCACTAACTATTAAGAGGCACTCTGAAGTCGACTCTTAGACCAACTCTTCTGGTTGAAGCTGAAGCTGTGAAAGCTTCCAGTTGGAGCTTCGAAACTGGTTCGCCATGTTAGAAAACGTGCAGAACATAGACGACGCCCGCGCCACCGACAGGCTGGTACGTGTCGTAAGAGCATCGGATACAAGGCAAAGCTGACAAGCGCGACTCTGGATCTAATAAGGGAAAGACGATAAAAACTAAACACCACCTCATCAAAGCGTGAGGAACTTAACAAGCAGGTAAGGAGGCTAGTAAGACGAGTCATTCCGCAGTCGAATACTCGAGCGACTGAGAACGCGACTGCTCGAAATAAGTTCACAAAAATTTTTGCAAAGCCTCCTGTTGTCGCCTAACCACTAGCTCAGAGGTTTTCACTGCAGTCAAAAAGTTTTATAAGGGCCTTTTTTTTGCGAACCCGCCCAACCAAAATTCACAGCGCGTATGACCCGCGTGCTAGACTTACGAGCTTACTGACATTGATCTGAGGCAGAGTAGAGCTCTCAAAGCTATTTAATTTCGTTTTTCATACAGGTACTACACCGGGAGGTATGAAGCAGGAGCTTCATAGTATTATACTTCAAAAAGGGAGACAAAAGCCTATTGAAGAACTGCTGCCTAATATCACTCCTGAGCCATGTGTCCAAGTTGTTTTCGAAGGTCATTACGAATCTGTGTTTCGAAAAGGCTTCAGTACCGTCGACCACATACACACTCTAAGACGAATAATCCAGAAGACAGGGGAGTATAACCGCGATGGTATCGTGGTATGATACGCTAGACACTCTGTCTAGCGTACCATACCATCAAACCTGGGCTGTCCTGGAATCTATGCAGAAATGCCTGGTCGACTGACAATATGTCGATATGTCGACGAAATAATGAGATGTTTTTAAAAGAAACCGCACCGATGACCGTTCAAGTATAAGTAAAGAGCACAAGACCGATTGTTGTATTTCGGGGGTTAAGACAAGGAGACGCTAAATCTCCGATATTGTTTACCATTGCATTGGAAGACGTCTTCAAGACGCTCGATTGGAACGGACGGGGAATCAATATCAATTGCCATTACCTCTCACACTTCTAGACGAGTGGGACTTGGGATGGACATTGATAAGACAAAAACCATGTATAATAGGTAAGTATCCCGAGTTCACTGGCCGTTAATGGCGCTACTATCGAGTTTGTGCAAGAATACGTCTACTGCTGGGTGTTTATATAACAGATAAAATTTGAGCTGCCCAAGACCAGGGTAGATGGCGCTCCTTGATGGGGAGGCCTTGATGATGCAAGGTACTGAAATGATGCCAAATTTTTAAAAAGAAAAAAGAAAATTGATGTTATTGTCCTATTTTTGTACAGGTAAATTAGCTTGGAGAAATTTTTGCGTTTGTAGTAGTGTATGGTAGCGGACAGCGTAAACTGGTTTTGTGCGTGTTTCCACTTTCCACTATCAAGTGACGATTTTTTGCTTTAGATTGAAATATCTCGGAAACGGTGCGTCCTAGGCCAAAAATAACAAAAATTTTGACCCCCCCGTAGACCCCCCGGACGCGCTCTAAGATCTGAGTAATATACACACCACTACATATGCAAACATTTCTCGAGACTAATTTCACTGTAATACATGTTAGAATGAATCACAGTTGGTATCTCACAAAATTCGAATTTGATTTTGTTATCCTGTAGAATATCCTTTACCAAGTATACTAACATATCTATTTGTGACTTCGTTTGTTTGTTGGTAAATACTAGAACCAAATTTTTAACGACCGATTAAGTGGACCGACCGACCGTGGGAATTTAGCCACTTTGGGCAGAGTGCCAACCACCGCTACTTGTGCCACTGACACTGGCTTGGACACCATCATGCATTTTAATTTTAATAACACAAAAATTAAGTCACTAATTAGTCGAAAAATTTTGCCAAATATCGGAATTTGTCGGTCACTGCTCCAAAAGTTATAAGTGTTCGTTCTTTATAAGCCATTGGTGAAATAGTATGGATCCGGGAATAGCTGTTACTAAGACATCCAGACCCTCAATTCAATACACGTGTGTGTATGATTGACAAGTGTTATGACGTTCTACTCTTCACGAATGTAAAGGCAGGGGCGGCTGTTCAACTGATCCGTTCCAAGAACACGGCCCCCGACTAGACGGGATACCTGCTCGAGTGCTTACCCTAGCCCTCGACCCTATGTCAGACCCCCTTGGACGTTTGGACGTTTCCGTGAGTGCTGGAAAAGTGGGAAGCTGGTCTTGTTAACGAAGTCAGGATCTATAGGCCCATCCGAGGCCCATCATATGCCAGAGGCGGGTACATTTTTTGAGAGGGTTCTTTCTGCCCAAATTTGGTGAGGAACACGAGGGTTGATTTTATTTGCCGATGGGACTTCGGATATCATTTCCGAGGTCTGGTCCCCAAGTTGGTTGGGGCAGCGCGTGCGTTGGCGCGGCTGCTGCCCAACATGAAGGGACCCGATGACTCCTGCAGGAGACTCTACTCGGGGGTTGTGCGGTCCATGGCCCTTTACGGGTGCCCGGTATGGGCGGGGGCCCTGAAGGCCAGCAACGTCGCGATACTGCGACGACCGCAGCGAATGCTGGCCATCAGGATCATAAGGGGGTACGTGTGTATCGTGCGGAGCGAGAGTGCGTGGAACTCTGCCGTCTCCTTCTGCGAGCAAGTCATGCTCGCGAAGGAGACGGCGGAGCGGGACCGGGAGAGGTTTAGAACTCTCCCGGCCCGCCAGGCCCGGGCACGGGCCAGGCAGCGCAGGCGACTCAGGCGCCGGAGGTCGCAGAACGACCTCCGTCCTCCATAAGCGCAGGCCTGGGGGTGACAGGTGAGGCCATCTGTCACCCTAGCAGAAGCAGGCCGGGGTGGCGGCGAGCGCGTTGCGAAGCGCGCTCGCTTCCAGGGAGCACAGGGAACATGGGGTTCCCACACGGGGCGGGGGTCGTCTACTCGTCTGTAGATGACCCGAGGTATGTCGGGGCACCAGGGCCTTCCTTTCTAGGGTATACCTGGTTCCCCGGCTATTAGTACCCGGCGAAGGCGTGCGGTTTTAGTCGGTTCGAGTCCGACATGCCACCGACAGGTGGTATCCGAGGGGATTTCCGCACGGAAAAAAAAAAAAAAAAAAAAAAAAGGGTTGATTTTATTTATCTCTGACATTTCTAAGGACTACATTATACATACTTACTTGTAGAATTATTTTTATCTTGGCAATTTTTCATGAATTCTGCGATCTAGCTCTTAGACAATACCAATCTTAAAAACTGTAATATCTTCTAAACTAAGACCTGACTAAATCTGTGAGAAAACAGATCTTCGCTGGTAGACCCAACCAAGAAAGTTTTTCCCTAGGTCCGCCACTTAGAAACGTTCATAACTTTGAACCAGTGACTAACAAATTCTGATTTCAACTCAAAAATAAATTCAAAAAAATTCAACTAATTAGCGACTAAATTTAGGTCAAAACGGATCTTCTTAGTTTTTGAGATATAAACGTGGTTATTCTTCGAAGATTGTTCCTGGGTAGGCTATCTAGAAACGCTTATAACTTTTGAACCAGTTAGCGACTAAACTTTATCAACAAAATTAAAATCCACGATGGTGGCCAAGCCAGTGTCGATGACACCCGCCACTTCCAGAGAGGAGAATCTGAGCATCTCTGCGCTTTTCGTGAATTAAATTGCGAGTTAAATGAACTAACCAACCTTTTTTTGTGAGAGGGTTTATTTTTGACTTGTCAGCTCAGCAGGACTTTAACTGGAAAAACTGTAACTTAACATTCCTTTTTAAAATGTTTCTACGTATACTCTTTGTCTTGCACCATGAAGATTATTACAAAAATGACAAATCTGACATTAAATTTGACAGTGACGGCAAATAGCAACCTAACAGAAACCGCAGTTATTTTCATCTTTGTGATTTTTGGTTGATGTGGTAATTAAAATACTCATATTTTCTATTAATTATTTAATGAGAAAAGTTCTTTTTTAATATTGTTTCGTAAGAATGAATCCTTGCTCAATTGCTACACCTCAGCAAGACACCGAAGGAGATGGAAGATGGAATAGTATTGTAAGTTTTCATTATAATAATGAATTCCTTGGATGCAAGCATAGACGTCTAGCTGAATTAAATTATTTAGATTAGTTATGTGGTGAGATAGACAAATAATTAATGAAATGTTATATGGTTATCTTAAGTTAGTATTAATTAGTAGTAAGTTAGTTACTCAATATAATATTTGATAGATTACAGTAATCATTTTTGCTTGCAGCATAACAGATTTTTGTCAGACGCCAAGGGGAAGGATGGTGAGGTGATTTTCATTGGTGATTCTATCCTACAGGCTTTGGAACACACAGAAGTGTGGAACCAATGGTTTGCCCCGCTCCACTGTCTTAATTTCAGTATTCACAGAGATCAAACTCAAAATGTTTTGTGGCGTATCAAAAATGGAGAGCTTGACCATGTCGACCCTAAAGTAAGTTTGCTTTTAGAAGAAGTAAAGTTATTATTTTGTATTAGCTACATGTTTAATAGGTTAGTTGTCTAGAAGTTAAAAAATAGAAAATGTCTGTTTATTAATTCATGTCCAACAATTTACAAATAACTAGCTTTTCTTCATAGCTTTAGATACAATACCTGTCCTCTGTCTTTTTTAAATTTCACAATAATTTATGAAGCAGTTATCCTGTGAAAGTGTAACAAACAAACAAGCTTTCACATTTATCATTTTAGTTAAAATGTAATTACTATAAAGTAGCAGTAATATGATAGGCCTGTTTTTTTGTAGTGGTTAGTGACCCTGACTGTTAAGCTGTAGGTTGTGGGTTCAATTCTCATTCAGGACAAAATATTGTGTGATGAGCACAAACATTGGTTCTGTGTCTGGGTGTAATTTAAAAATAATATGTATTTATTTGGAAATACAAGTATGTTTCCTTCTTTCAAGGCCACTTGGTAGTTGTTTTTTAATTCAATATATTTAAATTAACAAAATTAATAAATTAAAAAGAGATAAACAAAAATGTACCTATATATTTTTCTGAGAGCATAACTTCAAGTTTTACAATCTTTGGCACAGTTAAATTCTCAAGCCACTGTCTAAAAGAAATTACACATAGAGGTGAAATTAGCCAAGTTTTTATTATGGATTCCATCATAAGGAATAGTATAATAATTTTATAGAATATATGTGCATTCAAGTTATTTATCAATCCTTAAGGATTATTTTTTCCGAATGAAAGGTATCTTATACTATCTTCATGTATTTCATGCTCTGTGTTAATTTTACAATGATCAGTTGAGTCCGTGTGAAAGCATAACAAATAAAACCGTTTACCATACCACGGCCTCACAGGAAACCGGTGTTAAGCCATTCTTTCGTTGCATTTCACTGAGTGAGTGAGGTTACCGGAGCCCAAGTCCCCCCTCCCGCTGACTCGAGCGGAAGGGACTCCAAGGGCAGCAACGCACTTGTAACTTTGAGTTGCAGGTGTCCATGGGCGGCGGTTGTTGCTTACCATCAAGTGACCCGTCTGCTCGTTTGCCCCCTTATACCAATATAAAAAAATTACACACTCATTTAGAACAGTACTTAGTATTAATTACTATATGTTGAAATTGACCAAAAAAATATGGTGTACATATCATATACAGGTTAATGCCTAAAAACAATTTAAATACTACAGACATTTTGGAACAGTAATTGGCTGAGTCAGATTTACGATTAGATAACAGTAAAAGTATAAATTACATTTTCATAGTTTTAAAAACATATAATAGATTGTAACTTCATTTTAAGTATTTGGATAGTGATAAAGAGCAAACGCTGGTGGTACTCATCTGTTAAAAGTTAATACAACATAACATTAATAGCTAACATTATGTTGTAGGTGATAGTTGTGCATGTTGGGACAAATAATGTTGAATATACTCCAGAGCAAGTCTGTGAAGGTATTCTAGAAATAATTAGAACAATCAGGGAGAAACACCCAAGTGCTTATATAGTTTTGCCTGTAAGTATTGTTTTCAATTTAAATTATAGAAGTTATTGCATCAATGATCAGTAAACTAAGGTTTAAGGATTGCTTATATGTTTCTGAAAGCAGATAAGCATATAATATCACATCACAGACATAGTTTAGTGAGTGTTTTGTAACTGTGGCAAGTTTAAGGCTTGTCTAATAGCAAGTAGTTACCATCGTCTAGAGATGCTTGCCACATCAGTAATGCTACGTGCCATTGTTGGCTTTGCAAAGTTCGACACTTTTGCCTCATTATATGGCCTTAGGTGCTCTCGTCCGATGGGTGGTAATGGTAAAAAAAAAATATTAACAAAAATTTTGATTATTCATTGATAGGAAGCATCTGCATCAAGCAAAGGATACTAAGTGTATAATGTTGTATGTATTTTTTTCTGGTCTGTTGACCTTTTCTTCCGGGGTCGATATACTTTAAGGCTTAAAGGCTTAAAATCGAAGTTCAGCCGTATCGTAGTAGGCTTAAAGTTTAAGCCTACTACGATACGCCTGAACTTCGATTTTTTACGCGCAGCTATTACTATCAGACCTCCACAACCCAAGTACCCAAGATTGTTGTCAGACTTTTTAGGTCAACTGGGACCGACGGCTTAGCATGTTAAGAATGTGGTAACTACACATTGCAAAATTAAGCAATGCTAGCCAGATCAGTCTATAGATGGTGACCATTCTTAACACATTGAGTACCCCTCCGTGCCTCGGAGAGCATGCTAAGCCGTCGGTCCCAGTTGACCTAAAAAGTCTGACAACAATCTTGGGTACTTGGGTTGTGGAGGTCTATATAATAATCGTTTTCATTTAGCCAGGAGCCCCTCCTAGTCTGTTAACCTAAAACAAAAATTTTGGGTACCTATTTTAGTAGAAAAATAAGAGGTGTCTCTTATTTTTTCAATTGACTATTAATTGGAATATGGTCGTATAATCTGGTCCACGTGCCCATTGCGTTGGTTGCACACTTGAGTGAGCCTGTAGTAGGCAGAAGTATATCATTACTATATATAAGTATGGCGACTGAAAGTTTACAACTAGCTTTAATTCTTAACTCCTCAACTGTTGCCACAAAAAATCTGAAAATACTGTTGCGATTTTTACAGAGTCTACTTCCACGAGGTCAACATCCAAACACTTTGAGAGAGAAAAATTCGAAAATCAATCAACTTTTGCGTGAAAAAGTTGCAAATATGAATAAAGTAGAAATGGTGTTGATAGACAAAGGTTTCATACAAGCTGATGGCACTATTAGTCATCATGACATGCATGATTACCTCATACCTACCAATGCAGCGTGTAGAAAAGCATTTGAACCTATTTATGATCTCCTCCAACAAATTTTGTCTGAGGGAGAACCTGAAAAAGACTTAACCCCCTCAGAGTAATGCAATTATTATATTTATATTCCATGGCAGCTTTTTTATTGTGCAGCAAGCTCATTGTGATGGAACAGTAGTACTTATAATTAGCTTTTTTTACATTAGGCTTAAGTGTCAGACATTTTAAAATTTATACCTTTTATAAACATTCCAAATTAGCATTATTATGTTTTATCGGCTGTGTTTATTTAATCACTACATTTGATGTATAATTTATGATTGCTTATTAAGTATTAAAGCTTCCTATAACTTATAAGATTATACTTCTATATTTTAGTAGCCCATAAATTTGAGGACAGGGTTTAGTACTTATTTCATATTGATTTTTCCTCAACCCTTGAAATGATTTAATATATTAAGATCAATGCGAAAGTTATTATCTTTTTCTAATGTTATTTTTTAGAACCTTTTTATAAAAAAAAATGTTAGAAGCTTAGCAATATTGTTAATTTAATTATAAAATATGTTTCTTAGATTTATTCACATAAACAAGTACATTAGTCGTATAATAAACTTTGCACATCACAGTACTGGAATTGTCTGTAACCAAAGATCGTTGAATATTAACCAACCAAAGTTATAACCGTGTATGAATTGAATATAATAATATTACATACAATTCTATTTTTGATATCAACTACATTTTAAAATACAACATAATAATACCTTTAAGTATTAGTAAGTGCAAGAAATTCAACTGTTTCAATGTTACAAATAATGTATTGGCACAAACAGTGCATAAAAAATAAATCACTGTAGATGTATTTAGTGACTATTTAACTCTTAAGGTACCTACTCAAGATGCCAAACAAGTTGCTTGAATCTCCAATTGTTACGTATTATTTATTTGCATGAAGAAGCTTGAAAGTAAACAGTGCAACTATTTATAAAAAAAAAAAATTGTTTTATTCCATGCACCCAGTTTTACACATTAACATATTAAATAAATAATATTTTTAGTATGTACTTGCAATAGATATGAAACATGGGGTTATTCTCAATAGTACCATGAAGCCTTTTGGTACCTCTTGTTCCATGTAATTTTATACTATATACTGTACCTACTCTTACTGAGCTGGCTGAGCCAGTGTCAGTAACACGTCTGTCTGTGTCTGTTGTACGCGATTTACGTGAAACCCGCTAGACGTATTTGAATGAACTTTTGGATTTAGGTTAACCATAGTTCTGTGTAGCACATGGGGTATATTTTATCACGGTATTACTCAAAGGAGCTGGGCATCAAGTATTTGGAGTTTGTATAAGAAGTCGATATTCCTTGTGCTATCCATACATGATTCTTACATTAAAATATTCTTCTGAAAATGTTTTTTTTGTAGCAAGGAAAAAGGCCTTTGGGTCTTATTATAATACAACCAGCTACGTAACTCAACTTCATGGATCTGTTGGGTATGATTTTCCGCTTCAAGTAGGTGTTCCAACTAGTGCCATGTATGGAATTAGTGGGTTGCAAAAGTTCCACATTTAACTGGCTATGTGGTCCTGGGAATAAACCGAAAAATGCATTTCAATGAAACCAACGATAGCAAATTTGAACTATATTTATTGACTACTTGAATAAATTAGACACATACAATATAGCTGCATATTTAGGTTTAGCAAGTGGCAAATTTATGGTCACTGGTTAAATATTAGTTGTGACTGTTAGACAAGGTTACAGAAAGGTTTGGTTATAGTTTTGGGCATATAACAACCCACATAAATAAAAGAATTTTTTTGGTACAATATGTTGATTAGGTATGTGATACGCAATCTTGCAAATTGTGGTATGAAGCTTATATTTTCTAAGAGAACAAGCTGACATTCATTATATTATAGGTACTCAGTAGTAGTCATGCATGGCACGGCATACATAATTGGTAGACCATGTCGATGCAACATCCGGATCGATGAAAACAAAATCATTAAAATTTAATTCTGTGTGTGAATTAAAAAGGGATAATTTAACTGATATTCGGCTATAACCATATAAATCCAAAAATTCTTGTCAAACCTTTGACCATATAAATCCAAAAATTCTTGTGAAACCAAAAATTGTTGTATGTTATACCCAAGAGGTAATTACAATTTAGTTCATTTCAAATGTCTCAATCTATTTCAATCCCTTCGGCTTTCGTCATTTATTTAGTTATTTGATAATATTATATCACTTTTGTAGAGTATTTTTAGAAGTCAACTCTCATTCTAGACTGTTTTACTTAATCGGGGGATTATATTATAATATTATATAATCACTTAATTAAGATATACATCCCGATTTTTATTATTATGTAGGTTCTCAAAAAATATTTGACCGAAGAGGGAGTTGAACCCACATACACGCCGTAGTGACAATTGCTGAAGTGACCAGCCTTTATCTGAGTGAATTCAGTTAAAATTTGTTTAGCATCCTATTGTAATACAATCTAAGTGGTAAAAAGGGACTGCTCTGTAGTAGTGATTTGTCAAATATATCAAAGTTATTTTTCTGTAGTTTAGTCAGATACTGTTCAACTGTTATTGCTGGCAAAAATATCTGTCTTGCAGTTTTCGGCACGTCAATGCTTTTTGCCTGAAAATAAAAATATACTTTGTAAAAAATAAAGATTTCAACTAATTGAAAACCTCTTCATTTTTAGAAGTCTGTTAAAAACACTCCTCACTACAAAATATATTGTTTCATGCAAGTGCTTCTCTTCCGTTTTACCTACAGGTTTGTTTTATAAACTAAAATTATACTTTTAGTAAGGGAGTTTAAGATACCTCTCCTTATTCCAGAATGTGTATGTATTTGTGACTAGATATAGTTTTCTAGTGTTAATATGTTCTTATATATAATCAGTTTATCTATTATGTATAATCTATATTATTATATAGTTATTTTATTATTTAACATATAATTAGTCTCTTCTTCGCTTCTGGCACTATTAGCGTGATATACGACACTTCCTATAATCTTATTTTATATCTAGACTACCTTATCTAAAAAAAACTTTAAAATAGTATAGAACCTGTGATTAGCACACTTAATAGGCCGTTTACACGCATGGCGAGCCTCTAGAAGTGTCCACAAACACGCGGCGTTTATATTTTGAATAAAAATATATCCACGTCTTCTATGTTTGCCTTGCAAGCGTGTACATGGCATCCATTTGGAAAGACTTTGTGGACGATTGTCAAGCCTCGGCACGCATGTAAACTAGGCATGAGACTAGGTAACTAGAATATCTAGCGAAGAAGTAATGCAAACGTTGTTGGATAGCATAGCATTCCGTATTTACATATAATAACAGTCGACATCATAAATCATACTCCTATTATAATTGAGCAAAATCCAGATATAAAAGAATATGATTTTTTAGCTAGTTGCCTCACAGAAAACTAGTGTTTACAGTTAGTACATTATTTATAGCACTTACACAGAGTGAAGTGCTATATATAATGTTTTTAAGTTTTTGACAGTTTTGGAAAGACAAGGAAAACTAGCTATGTTGATGAAATAACTTGTTTCACTCAACTCTAGAAAAATTTCATTAGTGACTTGAATCGATTCAACTTTTAATTCTCAAGTCAAATTGGAGTCCCGAGACATTTTTTTTAAATTTACCCAATTAATTACCAAATAAAAAATACCTAATTTACAAAAGCTTTTTAACAAAATGGGCCTCCTTCCTTCCTAGTGCATACTTCAATTTTCTAGTAGTGACTGATACAACACAATGATCAAAGTCAACAACTGAAGAAAATGAAGGAAGTCAACAAAGAGACTTAGTTATTCCCAATTAATTACTTTACCCAATTTATTACTAGAAAAATTTCATTAATGACTTAAATCAATTCAACTTTTAATTATCAAGTCAAATTGGAGTCCCGAGACATTTTTTTTAAATTTACGCAATTAATTACCAAATAAAAAATACCTAATTTACAAAAGCTTTTTAACAAAAGGGGCTCCTTCCTTCCTAGTGCATACTTCAATTTTCTAGTAGTGACTGATACAACACACTGATCAAAGTCAACAACTAAAGAAAATGAAGGCAGTCAACAAAGAGACTTAGTTATTCCCAATTAATTGTGAGCCTTAAATTCCTCCTCCCCCAGATTCTAGTGGGAGGGATTCAAAGGGAGTAAACACATTTGTGTCTCCGGGAGTCCACCTGGTGACCTGTGTGCTCATTTGCATCCTTAAAAAGAAATTTAAGTGACTGTACTCTTATTACCTTCTGTAAATGACTATTTGCTCTACTTGCAACCTCAAATACAACATTCCTCATGTTTTCATTATTAACACCCCTCAGCACATCTTCTTGACTGATTTTATTTTTCATTAGAATGTCCATTGGTAGAGAAACCATTCTATGCATGCTGGATATATAAACAGACCTAAAATAAAAGTATTTAAAAATTAGTTTGAATATTATTTATTAACACTGCAGTCGTTCCATGGAGTTAGTTTTATTAATGACGAAATATATACATTTTAAAAATGTATGTAATTGAGCTGTATTTTTTATCCCTTTTTTACTTGGTGATAAACTATTTTCTTTTTTTTTTAATTGTTTCTTAAGTAGAGGAGATTTACAAAATATCTTCTCTCATATTCATTTTGCATTGATACAGAAGTCTCTTTGTTTGGAGTTACCTAAAAAAATATCAGGAGAACCTAATCCATTGGGTAAATTGTAGTCTCTAGACTTTTACAATTTATTTAATAATAATCAAAGAAAGAAAAGTTGGTTGACAAATCATATGAAAAGATAGTCCCTAATAACTGGCTTTTCTTTGTCTTTATCTGCATCTTATAAAATATTAAAATTTATACATTAGTGTCTGTCTGTGGATTTGTTCAAAAGTGATTATGATCACATAGGTTGCTCTTTATGGTGGTGAAAAAGGTTCTGCAGGCAAAAGTTTGTAGATTTAATTTGACAGTTTAGACCTGTTAGTGACCCTGACTCTTAAGCCGGAAATCGTAGGTTCAATGTCCAGCAAGGACAAATATTGCGTGATGAATATGATCAGTTGTTCTGTCTGGGTGTAATTTATCGACAATATGTATGTATGTACTTAGAAATATATAAGTATCTTTATCAGCGGTCTGGTTACTGTAGTATAGGCTCTGCCTAGTTTGTGATCAGACTGTGTGTAACTATTAAATTAATTCTACAATCTAAAAAACTATTAGTAAAAAACTATTTTTAAATTAATTCTACAATCTTTTATTGCACTAACGGAATGATGTTTATCTTGGTGTGAGTTTTTGCCTAAAGGTAAAGTGTTGAACATAGTAATCCAAAACCTTAGAATATTTGCTATTCCTTGAGCTTTTCCTAAATGAGATGCAGCATGGTCAGCGTGGACATTGGCTATATCTGCTACACTTAATAGCAAATAATATATTGAGGACACAGATTCTTCAGCATATTTCTCAATATCTTCTAAGCTTTGAAAATGTTTAGATTTTAAAATATGGCTTCTTGATGATATAAGTTTTTCTAAATGTCTCTTCTGGATGCCACAACAGCAAGATACCTGAAATTTAATATTATTATTGTTATTCTATAATGAACTAGCAGATCATAGATCAGATGCATACATATCATATTACTGTACTTGTGATCATTTTGTTGTTTTTAAATGTTTGTTTAGTCTGTTTTTATTAAATGTTCAATGATCCAGCACTAATTACACTTTCCGGTAAACTATTCCAAATGGCAGAATTAGTTTTCTAGAGTTGCTGACAGACTGCTATTTTCTATTTCATAATAATTTCACATATATGTTTTATATGTAACATGCAAAAAATTCAAGACCATGATGATTTAACTTCTTCACTGCTGAATAACACCCATCTTGTGTTTATAGAATATTTAGAAACTTTCTCCTGTGCTGATTAAACACACCGTACGGAACACAACATGTGTGTTATTAGTACTGCTGTAAGGAAACACAACAGTTTCTTTGTTTTATTATAAAAAGACAACTGCCGCATTAGGAAAATATCCTGTGTCGCAGTGGACTTAACAAACACACATGAAACAATTTGTGGATCATACAAAGTATTGTCCCATGTGGGGTTTGAACCCACAACCACTAGGCCATCTGTGTAGTGATTTCAGTCAGTCAGTAGCGTTTTGTATGTACTCTCTATGTACATTAGTTAGCAGTTTAAGGTTATTTCTAATATATATTAGCCAGCAATGAATGTGTTATCATGATAATAAATGCTTAATAATGATGACAAAAAGAAAGTGGGTTTTGATATATGATGAGGACAATGATGTAAGTGACACAGCAAGACTAATAAAAAGATGGAAATTCTTAATAAAATTAAATAGAGAATGCTTGAAGAGGCCTATGTTGGAAGGCAACCTGACAATTTAGACAATAATTAACGAGAATGTAATGTTAAAAATACTTACGGAGAAAAAAAGAAATTGATAAAAAGATCAGATTACCTACTTAAAAACGATAGTCTCACACTCAAATCATGTTATAGAACCTCCAGGTTCAGCTTATACTTAAACTCTTAACTTCAAGCTTTAGTTGACTGTAGTAAGACTGTTATAGGTTCAAAAATTGAAATTAAGAAATCTCTTAAAAGTAATTACCTTAAATAACTCTTGTGCTATTGGATTAGCAGGAATATTTTGTAACGTCTGTTCTGCCTTAAACATATCTTTGACTGCATCATGCCAAAATTGTAATCGAAATGCAGCAGTCTGTACATCACTTGTTCGATCTTGTATACGAGCTATTTCTACATTAAAAGCTCTTATTACAAACGCAGGTGAACGAATTGAATTTGTCATGAGTAGAGTTGCCAAAAAGTTTTCGTAGTCATGCTGCCTATCTGTAAAATATATGCAGAGTACCAGAAAATGCTTTTCATTAGATAATTAGTAATTTTGTGTTAAATTTGAATTAAATTTTCGCATTTACTTTACGATATTTGCACAGTAATCCACGGATGTCTTATTAGAAATTGATTCTTTCGCTAACGCCCTGGAAGTGATCATAGCACGTCTCGAAGTTTTAAGCAAGTTATTAAGCATAGTATTTCTGTTCATTTCTGAAAAAACAGAAAACGCTTTTCTATTGTGTACAATTGCTCTAAATATATTTTAAGTTTTTGACAGCTTCGGAAAGACAGGGAAAACTACGACGTTGACGAAATAACTCGAGTTACTCAATTCGAGAAAATTTCGCCAGTGACTTAAATCGATTCGACTTTTAATTCTCAAGTCAAGTCCCTCGTTTAGCGAGGCATTTTTTTCGACCTATACAATAGCTTGTTAACAAACAAATTGAGACTTCCTTGCTTCTTAATATTTCAATTTTTCAGTAGTGACTGATACAAAATATTGATCATCATCATCATTTGGAGAAAAGAGAAAAAATAAATTTGGAGAAGAAAATGAAGGAAAAGAAAATTGAAATTCCAATTACTGACATTTTGAAGAAGGAGAGAACTCCCAACTGAGGCCCAAGTGCGAGTTTATTTCACTTCTACTCGATCGTCGCGGTGACAGCGTTCGGCGCTGCGATTGGCCCGCACTAAAATCTCCACCAATCGTAACGCTTAACGCGCTCGCCGTCGAGAGCGAGTCGATGTGAAATAAACTTGCACTCAGCCCTCTGATGTAGGTCGAGTATCGAGTAGGGACAACCTGTGACTTTTCTCTCTGCTCTAAATTGTTGGTGGCGGAATGTAATAGAAGTATAATGTAGCCTATCACCTTTAGGGTTGTGGGCCTACTCACTATACTTACAACGGTAGTTCTCTCAGTACCACTTTAGAAGTTAAGTAACTTAAAATTTGATAATTGTGTACTAATGAAGCACAATGATCAAGTTACTAAGGTTGTCACTACACTGCTAATACCGACTAAGCTAGAATCCACACACAGATCCAGATCTTAGATCTCAGATCCACAAAATTGTTTTTTTTTTTTATGGTTTAAGAGGGCAAAAGAGCCGACACAAACGGGTCACATATATATCGCAGAACAAAACAAATTTATTAAAAGTGAGAGAATTCGTGAGTAATGCTTTATTAAAGTTAGTGGATAACTATTTTTACCCGTCTGCAACATTTCGCGAAAATACCCACACGTGGAATACCTCTGTGCAAAATTAAATACACAGTCGTATGCGTTATACATGCTCACAAAAAATTAAACCATAGCGCTGGTATTCTTGCATAAACTCGATAGTAGCGCATTTTACAGCCACGGAACTCGGGCTGCATGACTATTATGTATGATTTTTGACTTATCGATGATCATCCCAACTACGAGGGAGGTTTCCTGAGGGCGCAGGCACGACTCCAGCAGGCCCGACCGGCAAGGTGCTTCCGGTGCCTGTCGGTGGGGCACGTAGGGGTGGGAAACAAAAGGAAAAGGACTGACACAAACGACGAACCAGGCAAGCCAAAAGGACAATGAAACGGTGGAAAGGAAGGAGAAGGAGGAGTCAAGGAGGAAGAGTGGTGGAGTAGATTAAGCGTCCACTGAAGGCGAGGTGGTGTCGGGAACGCCTATCTCGGTGGGGCTCCCAGTAGTCAGACTGGAGCGTCTTCGCTCCAGGTCGGTTGCTTCAGCAGACGGTGGCTCCAGTGTGACGATTGACGCACTGGACGCTATGGAGGTTGAACTCCGCGACACTGGGAGCCGCAAGCGTGGACGCTCCGGAGAGGAGGGTCTTGACTCCTCGCAGGACATGCTGCCACCTAAGGTGGCTGGCAGCCAGCGAGGACGGTCACGGACGCCGATCACGAGGTCGTGTGCCCCTGTCTCCGTCCCGTCGGGCTCCGCCTTCTCTGGGGCGGAGTCTTACAGGCGTGTCCGAGCGGAAGGCGAAGCCGTAGCGGAGGAGGAGATCGCAGATCTCCTGCTTAAGATTCGGGAGCCGGTGGAGGGAGATGCCCGCCGGGTTCCCGTGTCTGTGCAGGAGAGGGCGAGAGTGGCGGTGGACATCATAAAAAAGGTGGCCACTAAGTCCGTGAACCTTAAGGGCTCCTTTGTGAGGGCCCTTAAGGACTCCTCCTCCGCTGTGTCGGAGGTAGTGGAGGACCTGACAGGCGAGATGGCTCGCCTGCAGGCCGCCAACGAGAGGCTAACGGAGCGGGTGACGTCGGCTTTGGGGCCGAGCGGGAGGCCCCGTCCGCGTCTAGGCCTACCCCTACCACCAACTCAGGGGTGCCTGACGCCCTGCTGCGTGAAATTCTCTGCTGCGTGAAGGTCTCCTACGCGTCGGCAGCGTCGGCCCCGACTCCACCGGGTCCCCAAAGGCCGAGGAGGACGGGCCAAGGCGCCGGCCCAGGTGCCGGCCAAGGCGCCGGCCAAGACGGGGCCTAAAGCGGCGAAGAGGAGCGGAGTTGCTTTCCCTCCGCTCCCCACTCCGACATCCCTGCCGGGCCCCTCCGCACCTGCCCCCTCCAACGAGGGTTGGCTAGAGGCGAGGGGCTCAAAGAAGTCCCGAAGGCGGGCCTTCTGGCCGCACGGTGTCCACCGAGGCGGCATGCGCGTTAGCCGGAACACCCCCGTGGGATTTGGAGGCGGAAGTGCTCGCCGAAGTTTATCGACGAGTGGCTGACTTCCGGGTGGAGAGCGGATTTCGCCCTCCGCCCGAAGACCTGCGCGAGTGGCGCGAAGCCGCTCGCTGAGCCACCATGGTCAGATGGTCGTTCAGGCTGGAGACTCCACGCGCTGGCTTCGCCGCCGTGGAGGCTCTTCAGCCGGTCATCGCCGAGTGGGCAGCGCGGCAGCACGGGACCCTTGCCTTCCGGCTGACGCAGGTGCTTTCCGGGCACGGTTGCTTCGGAAAGTACCTGTACTCGGTCGCTAGGAGGGAATCGAGTCCCGCCTGCCACCACTGCGACTGCAGTGAGAATTCCGCCCAGCCGGGCCCTCACTGCAGTCATCGGAGCAGATCTCTTGCTACCGGCCGTAATTCGCTCCATGGCCAGTTGTTTTACCTCGATGCTGATGGTCGATGCTGAGGCACAGTGATTCCGGGAGGCCATGACCCGCGTCTGCGATGCGGCGATGCCTAGGGCTCAGCCCAATACTGCGAGGCGCCGGGTCTACTGGTGGTTGCTGGAGATCGCACCGTTGCGTCAAGCCTGCGTGACCGCGCGCCGGTCAGCGGGGTACAGGGTTGCCAAGAGGACCCTTGAAAGAGGACCCTTGAAGCAGCGATAAAGCGGGCCAAGAGCGAGGCCCGCCTCGAGATGCTGGAGACACTGAAGCGGGATCCGTGGGGACGCCCCTACCGTATGGTTAGGGGCAAGATGGGCCCCTCACCCGGTGTCTTCAGCCAGAGCTGCTTGAGAGGGTCGTTGGCTCCCTGTTCCCAACGCGAGTGGTGGAGCATGCTCCGCCACAGATGGTTCCGCCTCCGGCGCTTGAAGCGCCTAACGCGGATAACGACGACGTGCCCGAGGTCACTGGGGTGGAACTAAGGGTGGCGGTGTTACGGCTTAAAGCTAAAAACACCGCCCCGAGACCAGATGGCATTCCTGGCCGAGCGTGGGTCCTGGCCTTAGCCGACGAGGCTCTCGAGCCCCGACTGCGAGGGTTCTTCAGCGCATGCCTGGAGCGGGGCCAGTTTCCGAAATTGTGGAAGACGTAGAAACTGCTCCTCATCCGAAAGGAGGGGCGCCCGGCGGACTCACCATCCGCCTACTGGCCCATAGTGTTGCTCGACGATTTGTGCAAGCTCTTTGAAAGAGTGATTGCAAGGCGCCTCGTCAAGCATCTCGTGATGGTGGGGCCGGATCTGGCGGACAACCAGTACGGTTTCCGTCAGGGGCGCTCCACCGTGGATGCGATCATGCGCGTGAAGGCTCTGGCAGAGGAAGCAGTTTTCCGGGGCGAAGTGGTGTTGGCGGTGTCCTTGGACATCGCCAACGCGTTCAACACTCTGCCCTGGAGCTGCATCAGGGAGGCGCTCGTGTATCACGAAGTGCTTCTCTACCTCCGCCGCATAGTCGGGGCATATTTGTCGGAGAGAGCCGTCGTCTACCCCACTAGGACCGGTCTCGGTAGGCGTGAAATGTCGTGCGGTGTTCCGCAGGGGTCGGTGTTAGGGCCACTCTTGTGGAACATCGGCTACGACTGGGTGCTTCGTGGTGCCTTCTTGGATGGTGTCGCCGTCGTGTGCTACGCGAACGACACGCTCGTGACGGCGCGCGGCAAGACGCACCACGAGGCAACCCTGAGGGCCACGGCCGGGGTTGCCCAAGTCGTTGAGCGAATCCGGCGGCTGGGTCTCGAGGTGGCTCTGCACAAGTCCGAGGCCCTGTTCTTCCACGGGCTTCGGAGAAAGCCGCCTGAGGGATCTAGCCTCGCGGTAGGAGGCACTCGCATTGGCATCGAGCCCTCGATCAGGTATCTGGGGCTCGTAATCGATGGCCGATGGGACTTCGGATATCATTTCCGAGGTCTGGTCCCCAAGTTGGTTGGGGCAGCGCGTGCATTGGCGCGGCTGCTGCCCTACATGAAGGGACCCGATGACTCCTGCAGGAGACTCTACTCGGGGGTTGTGCGGTCCATGGCCCTTTACGGGTGCCCAGTATTGGCTGGGGCCCTGAGGGCCAGCAACGTCGCGATACTGCGACGACCGCAGCGAGTGCTGCCCATCAGGATCATAAGGGGGTAACGCACGATCTACTTTGAGGCGGCGAGTCTCCTGGCTGGAACTCTACCGTCGGACCTGGAGGCGAGAGCCCTTGCGGCTCTGTATCAGTCTCTGTCAAGGAGGCGCGGGAGTTGGGTCGATGTCCCGAGGTTCGAGAAATCGGTGACCGAAAATCCCAACTCCGCCATCATAGAGGAGTGGAGGGAACGACTCGGGCAACCGAGCGCCGGGCACACCGTCACCGCGGCGGTAAGACCCGTTATGGAGGATTGGCTCGAGAGGCGTCACGGGACCCTCTCATACCGACTGACGCAGGTGATTACTGGGAAAGGATATTTCGGGGATCACCTGTGTCTGATCCGCAAGGAGCCAACGACTGAGTGCCACCACTGCGATGGCCAGACCGTGGACACGGCTCTCCACACGCTGGCGGAGTGCCCGGCGTGGGTTGAGCAGAGGCGAGACCTCGTGGCGGCCATCGGAGTGGGAGTTCTCTCGCTCGATAGCCTGATTGCGGCTATCGTGGAGCGAGAGCGGAGCGAGAGTGCGTGGAACTCTGCCGTCTCCTTCTGCGAGCAAGTTATGCTCGCGAAGGCGACGGCGGAGCGGGACCGGGAGAGGTTTAGAACTCTCCCGGCCCGCCAGGCCCGGGGACGGGCCAGGTACCGCAGGCGACTCAGGCGCCGGAGGTCGCAGAATGACCTCCGTCCTCCTTAAGCGCAGGCCTGGGGGTGACAGGTGAGGCCATCTGTTACCCTAGCAGAAGCAGGCCGGGGTGGCGGCGAGCGCGTTGCGAAGCGCGCTCGCTTCCAGGGAGCAGAGGAACCATGGGGTTCTCACACGGGGGGGTCGTCTACTCGTCTGTAGAAGGCCCGAGGTATGTCGGGGCACCACGGACTTCCTTTCTAGGGTATACCTGGTTCCCCGGCTATTAGTAAACGAGACGGCGTGCCGTTTTAGTCGGTTCGAGTCCGACATGCCAGCGATAGGTGGTATCCGAGGGGATTTCCGCACGGAAAAAAAAAAAAAAAAAAAAAAAAAAGGTCTCGTCGTATATCTTTTCATATCGTATTATCACAGGATAATTCTTTATTAGAAATTACGGTCACACGGTAAGTGTCCATCATTTTTTATCTTTCATACGAATAAAAGGCAAAGAAAGTCGATCTTCTAGTCACAGTTAGTTAAGTAACCTGTTATGTTGTTTTCCAAGCGTGCGTAACTTTTGCGTTGTTTTTTTACTTTAATGATAGACGCAAATATCAACTTTTCATGTAAACAACATTGCGCTACTACGTTGTAAATTATATTTTGTAACAGTAACAATAATCTTTAATGTGTAGGACATTGATATAATCCATGTGTAGGATTAAAGGATAAGAGTAGGTACATTTTAGACGTTGTTTTTTAACTGAAAAAAAAAAAGGAATAATTTTGTAAATTACTTAAAAGACAAACTTGGGTTTATAGTCTTGCTGAAAAATATTTCCGTATTCTTAATCCGTCACCACACGGACAATTCTTGCTTGGTTTAAATAAATAGGACGAAAGAACGTAAGGAATTTAAGTTTTATTTTAATTTTAGAAGGGTTTTTCCAATCCAACTATACTTAAAACATATGTTGAAATCAAATCAACCTATGAACTCGCATTTTATGTCAGCCCTGTTGCTGAAGTTTCTAAGACTTTACAAATTTCCAGAACATGTGTTTGTGTCATTTTGACTTTCTATAAAGTCCTGGTACCCGAGACGGACGGCGTGCGGTTTTTTAGTAGGTTCCTGTCCGACATAGCCACCGTTGGGTGGTATCCGAGGGGATTTCCGTACAGAAAAAAAGGTTCCGAAAAAGGGCATATTTTTACTAGAACATAAAAGTATGCTGGAAAAGTATAAAACGTGTCTTAATGGAATGGACGGAAGGTTTCTTCTAGGCACGGCTACTACGGAAAGGAGATATGCCCAAGGTATGAATTAATTAAGTGTAATTTTGAAAATCTTGTACAATTTGGAATGTAGTTCAAAAACTTCTTACTATCGTTGCTGAATAGTGAAGTTTGGCCTGGTGCAGTTTATTTCACATCAACTACGGTGACCGCGTTCGGCATTGTGATTGGCCTGCACTGAACTCTTCGATGCTGAGAGTGAATAGATGTGAAAATGTGAAATAAATTCGTACCAGGGCCCCGGAATAATTTTGTAAAAAAAAACTTTCGTGAGTAGTATTCATATTTATGAAGGATACACTGCCGACCTTGCACCGCCTGACACCCGTTAAATTAGGTTCCCTTCGGGTCTGAAACTAGTTTGACATCTCTGAAATAAATTCGCTTGTACATCTTTGAGTCTTAGTTACTCCAATAAATAATTTTAGTATTATTCTTTATAAATATGGATCTCAAGCTTTTTCTTAAAATTTACAATCTATTCCGATAAGTAGCTTTCTTTTTCATATCAGTAAACTTGCCATACAGCCTAGTTAACTGAAACATTGTAACTCTCTTTCTAATGAGGCCCTTTACATTTTTTTAAATAGCCTACCACATTCACACAACGCCATCTAGACCCCACAAACTAAGAGGTGTAATTAATCTATGTTGATGATTTAGAAATATTTAAGTATGTTTATCAATAATCTGGTTACTATTGTACAGTCTTTGGGGGAGTTTGGGCTCCCGTAGCCTCACTCGCTCAGTAAAAAGCAACGAACGATATGCTTAACAACGGTTTTCTATGAAGCCGTGGTGTCACTCCGATCGAGCCGGCCTGTTTGTGCGGAGGCCACAAACATTGAACGGTGATAGGACCTAACTGTTGTTTGTGAGTAGGTATAACGTGAATGACGCCAAAAGTTATATTTTGGAGCTTTTGGTCAACAGCCAATTCCGCATGTACTTTAAAATTTATAGTATACTAGCTTTTGCCCGCTCGCCCGCGTGTATGCCTGTTTTCGTGGTAAAAAGTTTATATCCTTTCTCAAGAATCAAACAATCTCCATACCAAGTTTCATATTAATCGATTCAGTAACTATTGATTCCCCATACACTTACACCCCCCCCCCCCCTCTTTTCACCCCCTTTAAGAATGATTTCTTTGATTAAAACTTAAAATCTATCCTATGTACTTTCCCGGAACTTAAACTATCTTTCCACCAAACTTCATCTAAATCGGTTCAGCTGCATAAGCATCAAGAAGTAACAGATCATAATAGACAGACACAGTTTGTTCTTAGTAGTTTTCAATTGGTTACCCATTCGCCTGCGCCACAATCAGCGAGCTCTGACCTCTTTATTTTCATTCCTCATCTCTCCATCCTTACCTACTTACCTTGCACCGTACTCTTTCTTATCACGACAGAAAATTTCGCTCTGCAAATAATTTGCATCTCTTATGTCCTTCCCATATTTCCGACTTCGTGAACTCTTCGTTCTTCGTTCAAGCAGTTCTCCTCTTAAATGCACCCCCGCTTGAAGTCAAGATGTCAACTAACCGTTCCGTATTTAAAAAGAAGGAACATGACCTCCTTCACAATGAGATGGCAGAATCATCTAATCGATAGTACACCGACCAATTTTCTTACATTCATAGTGTACGAATGTAATGTAGATTTGTATGTTTGTGTTATATATATATATTATATATATATAGCCTGATCTAATGAATTCATTAATTGTAATGGTAATAGCACCTTGAACGTTAGTTGAGCAAGTTGAAGGTCGAACTTGTAATTATATCCTTTTATCTTAGCTTTCAGCGTTAAATGCGTTTACGTATAAACTAAAACACTAAAACTAGATAACAGGACATTGCTTTCAGAGGATTTAATAGTAAGGTAAACAAAGCCAAAGCTATCCACGGTGATCTAACAGGGTTACCTACCTGCGACTGCACGGCTGGCGTAGTGGTTTAAGTGGTCACCTCGCTGCTTCCTACTGCGCTGTGTTGTGGGTTCGACCCCCATATGGGACAACATTTTGTGTGATCTACAAATTATTGTTCTGAGTCTGGGTGTTATGTTTGTTTGTTGTCCGTTTCATGTTTGTCTGTAACGTAAATATATACTTTAATATAATTTATTTTTCTAGGTATAGCTACTATTCTGAACATATTGATACCTACAGTAAGTTAAATATCCTGCATTTAATTGTACATTTTAGTAAATTGTGAGTAATTATTTTATATTTAATGTATACCCTAAACTGCAAATTGCATAGGAAGAAAAGCCTACGAACCGATTGCGTCTCTTTGAGTAAACATATTATTGTGCTTAACATATTCGTAGTGGTAAATATGTGGATGGTGGAATACTTAAACAAGTTGATTCTATTGCCGTCATCACATTTTAAAACCTGTTCCACGACTCGAGAGCCTGTGCTTGTCAAACGCCACTGATCCGATACAAAACTGCGTTGTATCGAAAAGCGAGCAATATTCTTCATTCAAGTTTAAGTGTCGCCACAGCTTTCAGTATTCCGTAAGTTTTGTGCCGATGTCGCGACGGTCACGAGGCAGCAACACTTGGGAGGTGCGTGCATCGACGTTGGCTCGCAATACCCATAACTTGATTAGGGACATCGTCGAGAACCTTCAGGTTGAGCCGAATCCTAACAAGCCGCTTATTGCATTATCAGTGGGTTAGTGTGTTGTTTTATATAATGTTTTTTGATTACTTAAATTGCGTTTCGAAGAAAATAAATTCGATCGTAGTGCGCGTGGAGCAGTTAAATATTCTCTACTTTAGTGTAATGTTTTAATCCATTTTATTGTTATACTGCCTACTATACCATGCACTGAGTTTAGTAAAAATGTACCAGGGGAATAAGGTAAGTTGAAGTATACCTAAGTAGTTACTTTCAGAAGAAATATAAAGTTAAGTAAAAATATATTGTTTTGTAAAGGGATCGTTCTGTTTATAAATTATTTTTGACTTCTTGTCACAAAGATGTAAGTAATGTAATGGAAGTCAATGAAAAGCTTTAATTTTTACGTTTACGGTATTTTATAACCACTTTTTTTTTAATAAATTTATTTTTTCTTTTATTAGCCACTTGTAAAATATGTGAATAATATTTAGCATCTATCGAAAGTAGACGAAAATTGATGTACATATATTGTAATATTTCAGGTGTATAACTTATGTCAGAATTAATTTCCCTATTTTGTAAAGAGTTCGAATGTTAAAACTTTTTTACCTAATTATGAATGAAAACTACACAAAGAAATACGGACATAAGCCCAACTTACCTTACGATTAGTAGGTAGGTACCTATTTATAGTTGACACATTTCATCTTGGACTCGATATTCATATCTCAAGGTCTACATGATTTCGATTTCACAATGTTTTTGTTAAATAGATATCCTTTTTTTCTTATCTCAGGTGATCCAACAACTTTTGGAAATCTCAATCCTCCAGAACAGGTGATACAAGCAGTCAGAGACAGTGTTGAATGGCTTAGCAGTCGGAGCTATGGTCCTGCTAAGGGTCACTTGGAGGCAAGACAAGCAGTAGCACAGTACAGCGCCCACCAAGGGCCTATTTCGCCAGATGATGTAATTCTATGCAGCGGATGCTCACATGCCATAGAGCTTGCTATCACTGTGATTGCAGACTCTGGTCAAAATATACTCGTTCCCCGTCCAGGATTTATGATATACAAGACAGTGACTGAAGGGTTAGGAATAAATGTGAAATACTACCGTTTATTGGTAAGTAACTAGTCCATAAGATTTATTTTTAGATTACAGAAACAATACACTCTTCATACTATTAGCAGCTCTTTTGGTTAAAACATTTATGCTTTTTAAAATATAGTACAGCGTCATCAGGGTCTCCTAAGTAACCTTAGTCAGATTTTCTTGATTATATTTGAATAATTTACTAAAATTTATGGAGAAAGTCTAGTTGGTAATTAGCCGCATCTTTGAAACATATTTTTTGAACCGATGTTTTAACTCTGGCTTTTAATAGTCCTCAAAGCCAAGGATATGTTTTCAGTGTGTTTGGAAGCTTTGTTACTGCACTGTAGATTTAATTAGTCTCAAATTTTATATTCAATCTATATAAATGAAAAATGAATGCATTTTCTATGCGTTTCCAAGTAAGTTTTTCTTTTATACTGAAACTTTTGTACAACATAACAATTTGGTACTTTACGTAGCTTTACATAGCTAATTTATAAATTTGGCTATATTCATTTTTGTTTTTTTAGTTCTGTTAGTTCTAAATATTGTAATAATGTGTCACTTTTAGTAATTACGTACAATAATGTTCGAGACAGTTAGTAACGCGCAAAAACTAGGGGCATAGAAGCGGGAGGGACTTGTAATATCAGGTGATGTTAAACGAGTTTCTAGAAGCATAACAAGTTTCTTGTGGAACGGATTTGCATATTTCTCATTTGCGCATTATTTTATAAATAACTGCGTAAATCCTTGATTAAATGTTACATATTAGTGTATTGGATAGTAATACAGCACAAAAAGGAAGTGAGTCTCAATAGTAAAATGCAATGATTTCTCCATTTTCCATTCAAACAGCATGACTCTTTTTGGGGGTCATCTAAAATAGATTGCTGTTGACTTTGCTAGTGTTGTTTTACCTTTATTTAATTATTGCACATACCTAGTATTTATTGCAAATTTGCTATTGATCCTTACGCGATTCTTATGTTTTTTTACTAATGACATCTAAAGTCGATTCCACGTAGATTGGCATTAAATTTAAATAGCCGGTTTCTATGTTTGACATTATTAACGCAAGTCAAATTTAAAAATTATTTCTATAATGTTTTTTGTCTTTGCAGCCTGAACAACAATGGAAAATAGATTTAGAAGACTTAGAGCACCAAATAGATGAGGATACAGCGGCAATAGTGATTACCAATCCTTCAAATCCTTGTGGATCAGTGTATGATAAAGAGCACCTGTACGAGATATTAGACATTGCAGCCAGAAATCACGTGCCGATCGTTGCTGATGAAATATATGAGCATTTTGTGTTTTCTAACAATGAATTTTTTGCCTTATCCGCACTTTCAAAAGATGTACCAATACTCACTTGTAGCGGTCTCACAAAGAGGTTCTTAGTGCCTGGATGGCGTGTGGGCTGGGTGATCATCCACGACAGACATAACATCTTTGGAACCGAAGTTCGTAAAGGCTTATCGAATTTGGCTACAAAAATTCTAGGGCCAAATACCTTAGTACAGAGAGCTTTGCCTACCATATTGTCATGTACTCCGCAAAGCTTTTTCGATGATGTCGTGTTCTTTATAGAGGTTTGTAGGAATTCGGAATAATAATATGAAATGAATAACAGTTTCTATATTAATAACAAGGATGTAAATAATATGAGTATGCAAATATTGTGCTATTGATACTCGTTTATTATACGTGTCCAACATTGACCCTCATTTAACCGTATATTTTGTAAAGGCTTGTACAGAGGACAAGTACGAGGACGACTTACATTATCGGTATTAATTAAAAGCACTACTATTATACTATAGAACTTTAAAGAATAAATAATATATTTATTAACATTTCCTAAATACATTTTTAACAAATCTATACAAATAGAAATTTGGCGTTTAGTACCAACATGAGTATGTTAAAATAACCGGTTAATAATATTTTGTTTTAGAAACAAGCGAAGTTAGCTTATGAAGAGCTAAGATGTGCTCCTGGATTACGTCCAATAATGCCTCAAGGAGCTATGTATATGATGGTTGAAATCAAAATGTCTTTATTTCCAACATTTAAAAATGAGTTACAATTTGTGGAGCGTATGGTCGCCGAGCAATCAGTATTCTGCCTTCCAGGACAGGTTAGTAAAGAAAATACATATTTTTAAATTCGCCAGTGGACTGTATTCATTACTAATAACATCAACCTTGTACCGTTATAATTTTAGATCCTGTCACCAGGACTAGAAATTCATTTACAGAGGCCCAAGTGCGAGTTTATTTCACATCAACTCGCTCTCGACATCGAGTGCGTTCGGCAGATCAATACCGGCCAATCACAGCGCCGAACGCGAACACCGTGACCATCGCGTAGGTGTGAAATAAACTCGCACTTGGGCCTCTGTAAATGAATTTCTAGTCCTGGTGACGGAACCTAAAATTATAACGGTACAAGGTTGATGTTATTAATAATGAATATAGACCACGAATGTGTAAGCACTAGGTAACTAGTCAAACTTAATATATACATATATCATAATAAGTTGACCTGTAGTCAATAAGAAGGTGATAAAGATAATAACACACACAGTTCCCCAAATAAACGGTAACCAGAGGCGGCCTTTGGGGGTGGCGAGCAGGGCAACCGCCCGGGGCCTCGCGCACTCGCGCCACAACCCAAGTAGATGTTTTTGTTTTGTTTATTTGAATGTTTGTTGTTGTATGTTTATTTGAATCTCACATTATAAAACTAACGTCACGTCACATCACGTATTTCATTCATTCCAGCTTCCAGTGTTAACTGTCGTCGGCTTAAATGCTTTTATGTTCGAGCAGCAGTATGTATAGCGTTGATTTTTTTTTGTTCCAAGCATCATTAATACTAATTCCACAAAGACAAGGGCCTCGCAATGGTCTACTTGCGCGGGGTCTCTTAATGTTTTACCTGCCCAGGGCCTCGCAATGGCTAAGGCCGCCACTGACGGTAACATTCCAGTTTCTATGTTTACCGCATTTAGTTAGCTAATAACGTATTTAATAGGCTATCATATGATACCGGATCAACCGGTTTGTGGGATACGGCTCACTGGATTGCTATTTGTCATCGTACCCTGCGCTTCCAATCTCGTAGACGAATGTAACGCTGAATGTAAGACAACTATAATACGAATGTAAAGAAAAAAGTAAGTATATCTACCTATCTTAGTATATAGAGCCCCCAGTACAAGTTTTGATTAATTTAAGTCTAGATAGCAAAGTGTAACATGTAGGTACCAGAATGGTCTAGGCCAGAATTGTCCAAACCAAGGCCCGCGGTCCGTGTGCAGCCTACGTCTTAAATTTATGCAGTCAAAAGAAAAATGGGTTCGATGATAGGCAGTACCTATCTTTGTGAAAGTGCATTATTTTACTATAAGGTACTTATAGGAAATTGTAATTTTAGTATTTATTGACAGATACATCAGTTATGTTACATCACTCACGCATGCACTACGTTTAGCAAAAACTAATATTGATGGTGATAAAATTGTAAAAGATAAAGTATGTAATGAAAAAAATTATATAATTTAAAAACAATATATACCTGAAATTTATCTCTTCGAATTTTTTTTGCGCCCACTAATCTACTTAGTCTTTTTATTAGCACAAGATCGCACCTTCGGACAGCTCTGGTGTAGGCGATTATTGTCCGTAAGAAATAAGATGTAATAAAGTACCTACTTATTGCTTGATACAACATCTTTATTGCTTGACATTATTGAGGATTTAATAATGTCAAGCAATAAAATTGTCGAAAACTATAATTGGAAAGAAGTGATACCTTTATTTTTCTTTTGTTTTGATAATTTAAAGAATTATAAGGGGTGTAGACCATAATTACTTTAAGAAAACTAAAACAATTTTATTTGTTGCAAAAAAACGTTTGACTGACAGTTTAAATTTGCGCGCGACACGGAGTTACACTACTGATGGCGTCACTTGTATCTGTCACTATCAAAGACTATGTACAGACACTGTAAAATACTCAAAATTTAATAGACACAATACTACCATCAATAATATTGCAAGAAAAGGCTATGTTTTGCACCAATCTGTCATAAATATACCGATTAAGCCATACTACAGCGTCTATTCAATGAATGACTTTCCCAGTCCTGTCAAAATCCATCCTATTTTTATTATTTGGCTGTGCCTTAATATGAATAACCGTCTATTAATTTCTGCTTTTAAAGTTCCCAGAACAAACTATTAGTAGACGGCACAATTTAATATTTGTTTACCTATTTAATCACATTATCACATCAACAGACTTTAATAGTCCACTGCTGGATATAGGCCTCTCCTTTGAAAGGAGGTTTTGGCACTCCGTACCTATTCTTAATCCGTCACCACACGGAATGACCGGAACGGAATAACTAATTTATGATTTTTAAAAATTAAATATGGTTATTACTTTGTTATAGTGTTTCGAATACCCCAACTACATGCGACTGGTGTTGACCGTACCAGAAGATATAATGCAAGAGGCTTGCAAACGAATCGTTACTTTTTGTCAACATCACATCGTATCCAGGGAATGTTTGAAGGAAATTGACAGCAATATTGTACAGGTATCCAGTGAAACCGAAGTAATTTGTGACGGTAATATTTAAGATGTAAATTAAAAAGGCGAATATGTGTGTGAATATAAAAAAAAAATTGTGGCATGACCGCAGATATCACGCGTACCTATACAATAAGTTGAATGTATCACTTACTATGAAATGTTATACTTAAATAAATAAACATTGCCGAATTGACATATTACTACTTTATTTTATTTCGGAAAAGTTAACAATTCTCTCAGTCGTATTGTTAACTGTCTTACTTCTTTTAAGCAAGTTCAAACAAAATACTATTCGACCATGAAAAAAGATGTAGGTACCTTAGTTACGTACTGAAACTGTCTTATGTTTTCAGGTGGTTGAATAAAGATTTACTTTTCGAAACGATGTTTTATCGATGCTTGAGGGAAGTGTATAATATTATCGTGTGGTGTACATAAATTTATTCCAGGAAATATGGTCTCCAGATACCTATAGATTTGATGGCCCGAAGAAAAAATCAAGCTACGAAAAGACCCACAAAGAAAAACCAAAAGTGAAAATAATTAAAACTACATAGTAATAATTATATTTTATAACACGTATGCAATAAACAGTATTAGTACATCAGTTTTCATAAAAAAAACAGTAGCTTTTATATGTCCGGAGTACGTGCTGTAAGTATATGGGAGGTTAGGTATATAGATGTAAAACAACCGATTTAAAACGTTTTAAATAAAATTTTGCCGTTTTAAACAGTTGAAAACTAGCCTACAAAAATAAAAGAACTGTGTTTTACACTTCATTGTGGCCAAATTTTAATTATTTTATAGAAAATCAATAGAAAGTACCTATCTACTTTACCTACTACACGAAAACTTAAGTATGTAGGTATACCTACCTATACTTATATAGTCATGTATTTAGTCATTAGTTATTGAAATGTCTTATTTCCAAAGAAAACTGCAATGTCATTAAAATTGGGAAGCCGGAATCAGATACAACAAAATCAAACAATGCTTACGAAGAGTTACACGCTTAATTATCCACGTCCTAGTTCATTTACTTTTATTTGAACAGATTACGCATGTATTACCTACTATTGCTGGCAGTGGCGGAAGTACCAGCAGGCCGAGTAGGCTGTAGCCTAGGGCGGCTAATGTATGGGGGCGGCAAATTCGGCACTTTTTTTGACTTAGTTCAATAAAATAAAAATTACACACAGAAGTCTTGAAAATTTAACAAAAAAATTTTTGTACTATACAGTGTACCGAATACATCTGTATTTGAAATTACTAAACGCTTGGTGAAAGGTCTATCCTTTGTGAATATGGATTATTAAAATATTTCAATGGCGGTTTAATGTTATTCAATTTAAATAATGGGCCTGGGCCTTCGCTGCTGCCTCCTTCCTCGCGATGACATGTTCGCAGAAGGATTCGACAGCGGTGAAACATCTGTCGCTACCCAATGACATATTATAATGTTTATATATCATTGTTGCTACCGGCTATGGCGCGGATCACGACCGGACGATGCGACGCCCAAGCTGGCTAGGTGTAATACTAGCTGTGAATAAATACATTATTAATAATAATTTGAATAAATGTAATTCAATACACATTTTCACAAGGCGAAAGAATTTATTTATTTATTTGACAGCCAGTAGTTTGTGACATTATTTACTAATATCTAAAGCATGCATAATAATATAATAGTATATTGAGATTCATCAACAGCCTATACTAGTCCACTGCTGGACATAGGCCTCTCCTTAAAAAGGAGGTTTTGGGAGTTTTTTATTGAGATTAATGCACAACATTTCAAGGCATCACATCATGCATAATGGAGTAACATTATATGAAATTAAAAATAGAAAAACATCTATGAGAGTTTAATATGTACTGAACCAAAAATAAAACAACCAAACAAACTGCAATTGCCTTGTGAGAAATGGTATGTAAGCCATGCGTGTAAGTGTCAAACGACAAGACTAGTGACAGCGGAATTCGACAGGATCCATACGAAGACGTTTCGACATTTTGACATTTTTGTATGTCTATTTATGTGCCGTTTTCAATCTACAATGTCTTTTCTCATCACACTGAGCAGTATATTGTTTTAGTATTTTTCCGTAGAAAAATAACGTAACTATATTCTATTTTTTTGGTGTAGCAAAAATCTTTTAAAAAGAGCCAAAAAACTCTAAATTCTTTCTAAGTAGGTAGATTTAGTCACTACGGCACTAGTTACGGTAGCGTACGAGTGAACCCGTGGACAGAAGTAAATTCATAATCATAATAGGTGATAGGTTCGATAGATATTTAATCCAAAGTTATAACAATCGATTTTCGATAAAACGCTCCATAAAATAATAATGCCATCACGCATCCCTAGTCAGTACTTAGGTCAAATAAAATCTTTAAAAATATCTTATCTCTTTTACAACACATGGCGGTATAATGATAAATCATAGCAAAAATATTTATTATGTTTACTGTTAGTCAATTTTTTAAACGCTTCAGTTTTAGGTAAATATGTTTCTGCCATTGTTCTATAAGTAATTATCAATAAACTGAAAAAAAACGTAAACAATACATAGGTAATTCTTGTTATTATTATTTGTGTTATTTATGTATTTTAATTATTTGCATAAATAACAAGAAAGATAATATAAATAATTTTATTGAAGAACAATCCCTCTCCTGTCACATCACATCATCACATCAACAGCCTTTAATAGTCCACTGCTGGACATAGGCCTCTCCTTATAAAGGAGGTTTTGGCCTACTATACCACGCTGGCCAGACGGGTTGGTATAGGGTTTGTGTCAAGTTTTCCTTCTTTTTGCAGTGCTGGTGTCCTGCGTTGTTTTGCACCCTTAGTCGGCTCTTACGACACCCACGGGATGAATTGGGGTAGTGACATTGCGTATTCTTAATCCGTCACTACACGGACTCTCTGTCCTGTTAGCAGTACAAATCGATTAAGTAAATAAATCAACTAAGTTGGGCCACATTACAATGTTATGCTTGCACGCTTGCAACATTAAAAAAAATTAGGTCAATTGGAGCATTTGGAGCTATCACTTTATGTATTTCAAAATTATACTTCACTTTGGCGACAGGGGCAATGAGTTGGTAGATATGCTGGCAAAAAATGCCATTTCAGCACCGTCTGTAGACCTTAAGCACTATTGTAATCATGGCTATGACTTATTGCAAAAAGATACTGTTGTCTTCATGGCAATCCCAGTGGTCTGACTTCAGCAAGAAGAAAGGCTACCATTACAGAATACCATTATGCAGTACAACCAAATATTACTCCTATATTACCTTGGTTCTGCCAACACAAAAACACTGCAATATCTGTTATTTGCCGACTTTGCTTGGGCTAGTGTTTCTCTCCAGTGCTTTTACAAAAAAATCGTATTCGAGACTCCTCTTTATGTGAATGTGGCCTCGACGGGGATACCCTAGAACGGCTAAAACATATCATTTTTAGTGGCCCTCTAATAATTCGCTCCCCAATCTGTAGTTAATTGATAAAATTGAACACACACACCCTCTTCCTTATAAGAAGAGGCTGTGTGTCTTTGCCTTCCTTCTAATTCCCATTCTTCCCAACCACTGCTTTCAATCCTTCTTTCATCCATAGCAATAGTATCAGACTGACTTGAATCCTGATAATGTTCTGTCAATACTATCTTAGGTTATTATCATTACTATTTTAAAAATAATAGTTTAGTTTTATAAACTTTAAACTAAAACATATACATTTTTATATTTCTTTTAGGCCTGTTTCTTGGCAATCATAATTTATTTCTTAGAAATTATAATAAACAGTTATTATTTACAAAAAAGTTATTATGAAGTAGTGTTAGGTCGGCCTAATCCATAATGCGAGGGATTTCGATCGGAAAGTACCTACTACCTATTTCAATAATAAATCCCACCACTATTAGGCTGTCACATTAGTGTCAAAAAGCAATCATTTCATTGACTGTGGAAGTAATGAATTAAAAATTTAAGAATTCTAAACAAGTTCTATACTGAATTTAAGTTACTTTGCCAAGAAAAAAGTGGTAATATCAGATAATAATCACGCAGGTATTATAACTAACTTAAAGATGTCTCAAATAAAATCAAGCAAAAAATTCAAATGGGCATTAGATTTCAATCAAAAGTAAGTGTCATCTCTCTAAAACAAGACTATAGCAAGTTATCAAGCAATTGAGGATGCTTCATATCAAAAATTCGTGTTTATTGTTTTACAGAAATCGCACACCGACTACAGATTTACCATCTCCTCCTGGGTATAGCCAGTCTGCGAACGCGAACTATACAGAGTCATCCAAAGATACAGATTCTAATTTACTATTGATAAAGAAGCTTTGGGATGTAGCACTTGGGCCCTTGAAACAGGTGCCGATGAATCTATTCATTATGTATATGGCAGGAAATTCCATTTCCATATTTCCTATTATGATGGTTGGGATGTTAATTGTACGCCCTGTTAAGGCTTTATTTGCTACACAAAGTACATTCAAAATGGTTGAAGGCACACAAGCAATAGGACAGAAGTTTGTCTATTTCATTGGAAATATTGTCAATATACTATTAGCTCTTTACAAATGTCAAAGTATGGGACTTCTGCCTACTCATTCCAGTGACTGGTTAGCATTTGAAGAACCTCAAACAAGAGTTGAACACATTGGTGGTGGTATGTCTCTTATATAGGGTTAATTAAACAATAATGTCTGTATTCCTAGGATTTATAAATCATCAATGTATAGAACTATGAATTATTTACAATAAACTTATGGATTTGTAACTGGTTGTGTGACAATAGCTTGTTTTGAAGAATTATTTCTCCCCCTTTTTCCCATTGTCAAATTCATCCAGTTTTGACTTTACATAAGCTTGAGCTTTTTCAAATAATACCTTTGGATCTTCAACCTTGTCTATCTGTAAAATAAAACAGAACAAATGTTACTAGGACTTTAGCGAGGAAGTACTTTGGTGTATTTCAATCTTTATTTATTTTCACATATACATTAACATAATTTAAAAAGGACCAGATGTGATGAATGTAGAGGAATCTTCAATTCACTTTATGCATATTGTCTTCCACAATGTTTAGGCAGCTAGTTATATTTGCATAACAGACCTTTAAAAATAGCATCCTCATCACTTAGTCATACAATAGCCCACATAGGGGGCTACCATCTGCATATGTTGGTGGATAAGATAAAAGAAATGGAAGTGTAGGTATGTGTCTCTCTCCGATTAAAATCTTGGGAAATTATTGTCTCATGTACCTATTAATGAATGCATTGTCTTGAGACTCCTTTGCACCAGTAACTGGTTTATCTCTCGGTAGAACTGCATTCCTGGTTCAAGAAAAAATTAACAGTAAATTACAGTAAGTCTGCTAACCATTTCTTTGCTGATTTATCACATTGCTCCTTTGCTCTCTGACAAAATTCATTCATAAGTCCATCCTGTATTAAGAGAAAATCTATTATAGAAATAGAAAACTTGGACCACAAACTAGTTTTTTTTAAATATCTATACATACACTTAAATTGAACCAGGAATTGTGGAAAGATGACAAGAGAATGATTTATAAAATCATAAAGTTTATTTTTAAGAGGATTAATTGTCAGGATTTTTTACTTTCAACAATAATATCTTAAAATTATCTTTCTCTCCTTTTGCTGTAATCTATATTCATACAATATTCCTATTGGTTGAACACTAACCTCTCAAACTACTAGTTGAATTTAAAAAATAGTTTTAGGAAAAGTTTTTCTTGGGAAGCTTTATGGCATTGTTAATATCATCTACAAACATTAGAAACGAAGATGTGACAGTGTAAATGTGCAAGGAATAACAACTAAAATATAATCCCTTAACAAATAATATATGATTATTTTTATATAGAGAATAAATAAACAGTAACCAGACATACCTTATATGTCTGAGCGATGTATACTCCACAATACACTCCTGCTCCAAATATTATCTAAAACAATATTAATGCATAAAATTTATAAATATATTTTAATATCATATTTTGGTTTTAAAAATAATAAGTACAACATGCATTAATTTCTTCTTTGTAGCTATAAGCACTTACACCTGTTTTGAGCAATGATACCACACAACCCATAGTTGAACTTGTTTATATTATTAGACATGAGTTAAATTGTGTGTGTGTATAACTAAGGACATATTTTATTATTCTTAGTAGGTTTGGGTTATTGATATACCATAAATTTTATTAACACATCCCATTACTATTTTCTTACACTGCTACTGTTACACTAATTTACACATTATTTGACATTCTAATTTTAAATATTAAATGAAAGGTACAAAACTCACTATGGCAATGACAGTATAAAAAGTATTTAATATCTTATGGTCATGAAATGTCATGTGTTTTTTAACATCTTTTTCATAATAAATATAAAATCAAAAGTTTGTTTGAAACTCAATGGCAATGACATTAAAAAAGTATTTTTTTATTGTGTTGTGCCGGACTACTCATGACATTATTATTACTTATATTAACTGCTTTTAGATTGTTCTATATTACATTTTACTATTATGTACTTGCATTTACTAATAAACAATAATTGTCTGACAAAGGACTTCATGGAATGTTGTCAGGCTATAGATATTTTTTTAATTAATTCTTGAAGGCTCCATTTCAAAATAAGGTGTGGTGACCAATACACTTTTTAATAAAAAAAAAAATAGCAATCCAGGAAACCTTGATTCCCTGTCTCCAAATAAGGAGGAGGTCGAAGTCCTACTATATAACCACAACATAAACACTGTTAGTGTCTGAAACTCATTTTACTGAGAACAGCAGCGTCAAATTACGAAACTACCAATATATATGGCACCAAACATCACGATGGCACTGCCTACGCCGGAGTAGCTATTATTGATAGATATAGTATCAAACATTATGAATTACCCCAGTTCAACAGAGACCACATGCAAACAGCAACAATTGTATTAAAAGACCGAAACGGAGCCTTCAATGTCGTCGCCATATACAGCCCTCCGAGACATAAAATAACAGAGCAGCAATATAACGAGTTCTTCTACACCATAAGCTTACGGTTCATATTTGGGGGCGATTGTAATGCAAAGCATGTCCTCTGGGATTCTACAACTAACTAACACTAGAGGTAGAAAGCTAAAGAAGAGCCTAGATAGGAATAGTCTTTCTACAATCTCAACCGCAGAGCCCACACACTGGCCTTCAGATTTAAACAGATTGCCGGACGTCATCGATTTTTTCGTTACTAAGGGCTTATCTAGACTCCTATATAATAGAAACATGACTGTATGTCGACACTAATCACGTACCAGTAATACTGTCAATCGGTACTACTGTCCTGAATATCGAGAGAAATCCAAAATTACATAACAGACACCTAGAGAAGTTGCTAGATATATTAAATCTATGGACAACAACAAGGTCCCCCGGGGTTTGACCTCATCAATAAAAAAGTCCTAGAAGAATTACCTCGGAAGTCACTAGTGTATCTCACAACGTTATTTAACGCCATTCTGCGAGTAGGATACTTTCCGGACCTGTGGAGTCTCCCAAATAATACACAAAATAAACAAACAAATACACAAACCCGGCAAACAGGGCCACGAAGTTACCTCCACTAGTTAAGTTACTACAGGCCTATCAGCGTACTGCCGACTATGCCTTTTTGGACATTCAGCAAGCTTTCGACAGGTTCTGGCACAAAGGATTACTAAGCAAAATAAAATCACTCCTACCACACACATACTTTGGAACATTGAAATCATACCAAACTAACAGAATATTAAAAGACAAAGAAAATGACTGCACATCGGCTTTCCATGAAATTCAAGTAAGAGTGCCCCAAGGGACTCTTCTCGGACCCATTTTATACTCTCTGTTTCAAAATAAGGTAAATAGGTAAAAATAAGGTAAATAGCCGGGAGTTCACAGTTGCGACTTTTGCAGACGATACAGCCTTGCTCGCCTTGAGCACATACCCAGCTCAAGCATCCGAATTCCTACAAAGCGGTCTTTACAAAATGGAGAAATGGATGGCCAAATGGAGAATTATAGTTAGTGAGTCCAAATCAGTATACGTAACATTTACACTTCGCAAGGAAGACTGCCCCCCAGTAACTCTAAATAGTACTCGACTCCCTCATCAAGACTTAACTGATTAAGTACCTGGAAATGCCTAGACCGTAGACTCACGTGGAAAAACATGTGCAAACAAAAAGAGATTAAATCAACCTTAAGTACAAAGGCTTATACTGGCTACTGAGTAGGAACTCCAAACTGACAACGGACAACAAGATTCTCATTTACAATGCAGTTCTAAAGCCGATTTAGACATACGGAATTGAACTATGGGGCTCACTATGCGTCTCCAATATAATAACTATACAAAGGGAGCAAAACTATATCTTAAAACAAATAACCAATGCGCCATGGTTCATTACAACAAAGGAAATACCCTAAATCCTAAACATGCCCACGGTTAGAGAAGTGAACAGCCATGGCTCCCGCTACAAGTCACGACTTCAAAAACATAGCTCACCATTGCGGAGACAACTCGTCAACTGAAAAAGCGACGAGACTTATTTGATGAGTATAGTCGCTAACTGGCTGACAATATATATAAAGATTGGGCTCCACTAGGAGTTCTTTAGCACCCCAAAAAACATCCTGCCTACACCACATCTGCTTATGGTCCAGACGACTGATTGCAGGATAACAATAGGACAAAAAATAGCATTCCTGGATTGCTATTGGACACACAAAAAACTAGTGGGGAACTGCTAGTTATTTGAAATGTCACTACTATATATTATATATATATTGCACACTAACAATATGTGCTGTGTTGTGCTTTACATACATAACGGATGCAAAGAAGACCCAGACTCAAAACACTTAATTTGTTGATCACACAAATTGTCCTATGAGGGGATTGATCCCACAGCACTCAGCACAGTAGAAAGTGGCAAGATGATTGTTTAATCCACTACACCATCAATGCAGTTATTTAATTACTTGCAAACAAATACCTCCTCTGCGCACTTCAGGTTCTGCCTTGGTTGCTCAATTTAGAGCTATCAAGCTCTAAATTGAGCAACCAAGGCAGAACCTGAAGTTCGTATACCTACTGATGATGTATGATTGTATCCTTGGACATAAAAGATGCATATGGTACTTTTAATAGGACTATAAAATGTGAGCTATGAGTTATTAGGAACTGCCAAAATTATTTGACGTATTTATAATGTCTTTAGAACATATGACATATTGTAAAATAAGTTTGTAAGTGCTTTTAACTCTCATAGTAAAACAAAAATGTAGAAAGGCTCAAAGCTTGATTACACTGCTTTAACTGAGTAGACTAGACTAGAAGATCATTTCAGCATACTGATTTAAAAGGTTCTAGCGTAAGAATTAAAATTTCTTATTGTTCAGACATAAATAGAATTATATTTTTATTAAATAGCAATACAATGTCTATAATATAACTAAGAATAGCTCTTTTAGAAAACTTACTACGCCTTTAATCATTTTTAACATCAGCTTTCAGAATATTCTTCTTAAATTATAGCTTAGTCGTACTAAGGATCACAGAAATAGTGTTTCTGCCTGTAAAACGAATTATTTACGGGCAGACACTAAAAATTTTGTCATTCATTTG